CTTCCCTTCCGCCCCTCAAGGCCTTATCAGGAGATTACCCTAACAATCTCTCTCAACCATCCAGCAGTATCTCTCAGAGCCCCAGTCACGACATCGGCGCGGGCAAGAAGTTCTTGTGGGATACGGGTGCCAGCTTGTCCAAGCGGTCATACGAAGATTCGTTTGGCCATGATGACCGTCCCCTCTACAACGGCATGCGTCCTGATACGGATGGGTATCCTCGCAGGCTGTCGGATGCCGGTCGGAACTTCTACACCGATACGCGCGATGAAATGGCGTACAAACGAGCCAACGGGAGAATGGCCACGAAGATTTCCCCTGCACTCCCATAAAAACCAGTTGATTTGTGCTTTTTCTCCCGCTCATGTAGGACGGCGTCTTGGCGAATGGTCGCCGATTGATTTCTTTAACGTAATCTGCCCCTTTTTCTCATGGTCTCTGGTGTGGCGGGCTTCAGGGATACTTTTAACGAACCAGACTTTTGATGTTTATACCACCCTTCTTTTTTTTTTCTTTTCTTTTCTCGATCTTTGCCATTATTGTATATGATGCTCTGCATGTGGTTTCCAAGATATTCCCCGGATTGTTCTTGTCTTCGTTTTATATACGACAGCTTTCATGTTTATTATCCGATGTGTTTCCAGGCATGCTAAAGAGCCTGGGGCCTCTCCCTTCCCGCGAATAGAAGCGAGTGAGCAATCAAAAACGTATCATTTTTTCGCAAAGTTTGGTGATTCATTTGCGCAACGTGGATGCATTGATCCGAGACAATCCCGGGGCCTTAGACATGCGACATGCCTGATTCCACTCCTTCGACCATTTCCTTGTTTGCCCATGACCATACCCCATCCATTGGCATGCCATCGATGACGTATGCGACAGCTCAGATCGACGACCTTCATTCTATATCAGAAATATATTGGATTTGACCTGTACATGACATGACTATCACCCAGTGATGTATCGATATATATGTTCTGTAGGGCATGTAGTGTCTTTCTCAAGTCAGAAGCCATACGGAGTAGAAAGAACCTGTACCCAGAGTAAATATTAACATTCCCTGCACATGTCAATTGTCATTCCACAAGAAATATCGAAGGGGAGGAACATTCCAGGAAGAGACACCGTAAATGAGCCGACATAGCTCAGGAAGTAAAGCAGGTCGGTCCTGCATAACCTTGTGCATTCTCATCCTCTTTATACACTTGGGCATAGCAGTACCTCTTATCATCGACGAATGCTTGATATAGTTATAGCTAACACAATGGATCTCTTACTTTGTATAAGCTTTCAACCCCTGGGCTATAACGCCCACTTGCTAAGATATTATATCTGCCAGTTTTAATTAATCGGTTCCACTTTCTTTGTTGGTATGATAGTTATCTTCTTTATTGGGGCATAGTTACTAGTTCTCTGTGTTACTATAGTGGTGGTGCCTTTCATGGCCATTGTATATCCCTTCACGGGCTACTTCAAAGAAAGTTGCGGACAAGGGGTTTGTTATCGGTGGATCCATTCTATGTTTATTTCCTTTCTGAGTAGAATGATGAGAGGTAGGGGTATTCTAATTAAGTAGTATGTATTTGGTATAAAATACAATCCATCCTCAAAGGGAATGTGTCTGCCTCCAAAGATGTGATACAAGAGTCTTGAGACTGAGCCTAGGAATGCGCAGCATTTTATGGAACTGCGATAACTTCCTGATTCCCTTTTGATCGCTATCAGTGAGACTGCAACTTACTCAGAGATTACAACCATCTGGCCTCTGGCCTACGCGAGTTTTATATCAGGCCTGCCATCACTACCACCCGCCGAGGGTGCGGGTGCCAGTCTTAGAGGAGTAAAACCTAGTAAAGAAGAGACAGAATTCTCTTGACTGTTACATACACTTTTTTTTCGACAGGAACTGTTCGTCCAGAGCTGTTGACCTCCCTTACAACAAGCACTTCCACGAGCCAAGAGACAGATGAGGTCCTGTGTGCCATGAGCCACAGAACAGATAGCCAACAATGGGGGCTGTGTCGTAACTGGAGCAGTATGCAGCGAACATCAAATTAACCAATGATTTCCTTTGGGTACCCTTCAATACAAATCCCCTTGGTCGATATGTTATTGTTTCCCACCTGATGTAGAAATAGGGCCAACCCCATCACACAGAAGACATGCATTGCATCACCTTAATTTATTAGACTCGAAACAGAATTGCAAGACAAAATTCGTACCTAGGAAAAGTAGCCGATTGAGTTTGAGCAGGAGCGATGGCAGAGCGGTCTATGTTTCGATTGTGGAGAGTCTGGTCGCCATCAAATGGTGTTCCCAATAGTCTTACGCTGGGCTGTACCAGGAATTGTCATCTTGCAGTCGATTCGGGGGATGTTGCTTTCTATGGATAAGGATCAGCACACCGAAAACTCAGCCTTGCGCCGGATGGGAGACGGGCCCAGACGGGGTCCCTAGATTCTGAAGTCGAACAAGTCTGGGGGTACTATTCTCATCCTTATACTAAGTCCAGGTTCAGTTAGAGCAATTTCCAATTGGTCTAATATCCTTCATATATCTAAACCCTTAGGTCTACAGAAGAAAGTACTATAACTCAATGCTCCTCTACATTACAACAAATATGTCTTTGGGTTGATGACTTCGGCGAACTGTACAATACAGTGTCTAGCTATTATGTGCTGCTAGCAGAATGAGGGCAAATTTTAATAGAAGCAGCTTCGAGTGATTGCAAGTCAATACTTGAGCATATGATATATCTGATTCGAAAAACTTAGAAATTGATCACCCAGAGACTTTATCTTCCTCTAAGACCCTTAGAAAATGGCAAGCAAAGGACTCATCACTCCACAAATACACGACGATACGAGGATGAAAGTTCCACAGTACTTGTGAAATATGTTTTAATCACATATCTTCATAGCATGTATAAGGTCTACATCCTACACTGCCAGCGGGAGATGCTTGAAAAGGCAGCACAAGAGCATTCCAGTATTATCCCCATCTGCTGCAATGTGACATCCAAGCGCAACCTGCAGGTCTTCGCTGGCGTGTATTTAGAGTCGCGGTGCGATCCGAAAGCCGGCCGCAGTCTTGACATTAATACGTAATGAAAACCCACCTCCACATCTGACATGCATAATTTAGAACCCCTTCTCTCTCTCTCTCTCTCTCGGCAGTTTTACCTAGTTCCCTGTAGTCACAAAATCAGATTATGCAGAACTGCGGATAGTCTAGGGCGGGCGATTCCTGATTCCTAGACCACGGTATATCCTCTCCATTGGATATTAGGTAGAATACTATATCTACAAAGCTGAGGATTGAGGATAGTGGCTGACATACCATATCCACAATTTGTGCAGAGGATATGCGGATATCCATGGATATTGAGGATGTTACCGCAGTCGACTGATTCCCTGTGGTCGAGACCACTGCTGCACACGCACGGTCCGTACCGTGACCTACTAGTACTTTCTTCTAAGGTTCCCTCTGGGGGAGGCTAGCTGCCAATCAAGTCTTTAGGAAGGGAGTAGTGTCACGCCTCTATCCTAATAGCCATGTAGTACGCGTGCTGGCAGACTTGGTAGTCCTCGGGTTGTGCCTTTCTAGTGGAGAGGTGAGGTGCCAAAGTACGCGGGGGTCTGCACCCCACCTTATGAGTTCCTCACCAAACATCAATATGCATGGTATTGTACGCATAATCGGATGTATTACGACGATATGGATGGGATGCTATGCTATTCTGTCACCAGAGCTATCTAATAATCAAAACCAAAATGGGACCTCCCTTTGTAAGCAGCCAGCGACAAGCTCTAGCAACCAATTCATCATATCAGCCTTGCGAGACAGGCAGAACCGCAACTTGAGCGGGTACAATATTCTTACGATACGTATATGTGGTGGAAAGGTATTTGACAGGAAGCTTAATGCCCTGATCTTTGCCTGGACAGTTTAGCCGACAGGTCCAGAACTCTTCCGCAGTGATCCATCTGCATGATGCTCCACTCTCTAGCGTCCATGGGCTTCCGGGGACTTGCAGAAACGTAAGGCAACTAAGAAAGGTCTGTCCTGAACCTTTGGTCGTCATTAGTATAGCCACAAAGGAAAGACTGTGATCACCTTCAATAGGAACCTTGAGCAGGACAATCTGACAGGGAATAGTTCAGCTGAGACATCGTCCCAGTATTCCCAGGTTGAATGACAAAAGAGGAAACAATCATCGATTCAGCTCGCCACGTTCTTACAACCTTGAAGAGTACCCCAGTACCGAGGAATGACAGGGGCAAGAGATACTTAGGTCTGCTACTTCGTGTCTGCAAACAACCATAAAGCTGCCCCGCGCTAGACACTTTGGGATCTGACAGCAGGACTCACAGATACAACGGCCGAAGCCTGCCAAGATTAGCAGCTCAGCTCTATTAACAGGGCGCCACACCAGCCCAGTATCTGTAGTCTGTATGGCCAAAACAGGAAATAGTTATAGATTCAGCTCGCCCCCTGTTCACTCGACTGGCAACCACCCCGCCACCAAGAAAAGATAGATAGAGATCAGATAACATGATTCATGGATATGACCGAGCCCTGTCAAGACCAGCAGCTCAGCCCCACGCCATCAAGGGTCTGGTCCATCTCAGTAGCTGTATTTTGCATAGCAGAACGAGGAAATGATCATGGATTCAGCTAGCCACCTGCTCACTGGGCTGCCAACCCCCCTCTACCGAGACATGACTGGCGAAGGGTGTATACGCTCAGACTCGGGTATCGTACTTCTGTCCGCATGCGGAGTCCAAGTACAGGTTGGCTACTAGGCTCTATCGGATATATAAAGGAACTCCTATCCCCAAGCTGTCGAGTATCAATCAGCACCATCACTTTTCTTTCCCTTCCATTGCACGAAGCTCCCTAGCTGCCAGACATCACAAGTTATCACCACAGTACCAAACAGGTAAGAAAAACTACTGTACCCAAGAGTCTTTCCAAGGCTAACTTGATCCACCAGAACCATGGAGGTCTGGACCGAGCACAAAAGCCACTCTGTGGAAGGCCACACCCTCACGGGTGAGCTCAAATACAAAGGCCAAACGATCTGGGGACCCAGAGCCTGCCATCCCAACACCACAGAGCTGGGAAAGGCCCTCACCGACGCTGACTGGCGCTTTGCCATGACATTTGAGCACCGGGACAAATCCGTCGAAGGACATGTACGCAAGATCAGTGTCAAGGACTGGAACGGAAATCTTCTTCTGGACGGACTTTCAACTCACGACAGCATGGATAGCTTGGCTAGAGCTGTCATGGAGAAGGTTAGAGAAGACGGCAAGCCCTAAGATTGTGTCATGTCACCAGAACTGTGTATTGGGGACGAGAGGCACGGTCTTGGTCCGGGGTTGAACTGAGGGGAAGTCACTTGGAAAGCCCATGGAGGTGATGCTATGAGGAATGATGGGCGGTTGGACACTGTTCTGTGCCACGACTGATGTTGGTGGAATGACATAGTTGTATATGGGTTCATTCTTTAGTCAACCAATCTGATTATCGATGATCTTTTAGTCTTTTCTCTTGCCATTGGAGCGCACTGGTATACGCATAACTTGTAAGACACACTGACCATTAAATTAAATACCAATGGTACAACTTAGTAAGTACTAGACCGCGCGCCCCCTACAGTGTTTCCCCTGGTATGTTGCTTTATGCACCATCTTCTGGCTGCAGTGTGACAGGAGTACTACTAGTAGGACTGTAGGACTGCACGAGAGTGATCTGGGTTCCTATTGCCTATTCAATGCACTCTGACGTCATTTCCAGTAAACCAAGTGCCTCAGGCATAAGTTTAACACCACGTGACACTATCAGCACGATGTCACGTGGCAGAGATGTAACGCCCAAGGCAGTGTGACAGGTGCATGTCTCCAGAACATGGCAGCCACCACGGCATACGTATTAGACAGAGCCCTTGTGCTGGGAGCTTGGAATTTAAGATAAATATTTGGCGCACAGATTCTGGTCTCTATCACATATCTCCGCAAGATAGCATTCGATCGAATCGCTACGCGCGATGAAATTACATATCTTCACAACTGATCGTCGTTCATTCCATACAGAAACATACATACTGCATAGATTCCCCGGCGAAACATACCGGGACAACAAAACAATATGCATTGACGGTGAATGAGGGAGTATAACTATCGGCTGGATGGCCTTAATCAAGATGGGACAGCCTAAGGCCTTCTTGGCGCATATTTAGTTCTCCAAACAAGAAAACAACAACAACAACAACAATCCACACGAAAAGGTAAACATTGACCTCATTTCACCCCCCGCAATCAAAACAAGAATATTTCCTCGTTTCTTCTTTTCTTTCTCCTCTTTCTCCCCTCGTCTGCTATTTTTCTCACGGTGTCAACTCTCTCGTTCTGTCTTGTCCTTGGATCACCCGATCAAATACTAGTAGTGACCGGCGCCGTCATTGTCGGAGAAACGAGTGGGGACAAGGTGAGAAGACGGGAAAAAAACAAAAAAGAGTGTAGGGATGACGCTGGGTGCCGAGGTTGGTCCATCCTTGACAATTAAATCTGACAGCTCTGAGGCCCCATTTTCTTCCTCCCTTGCGCTCTGTACTCCGACCAGGCCAACCCTTGCTGACGATTTCGCATCAGCTCCGAGCACAGATGTCGACAGACGACACCCAAGCAGACCGCCAATTACACCAGACGCTCGAATCCGCCTGCCGTCGTCGCGATGACCGGTCCCGCAAGCACTCGCGCACCGACGACTACGATGACTACGACAACGAGGAGTATTCCTCCGACTATTCCTCTGACGTCTCCGGTCGCTTTGACGACGCAGACGAAGACTACGCCCTCTCCGCACACCCGGCCAGCTCGCCCCGATCGACGCACTCCGCTAAGCGCCGTCGCTCCAACGACTGGCCTGTAGAGGAACTGCAACCGCCGCCGCCGCTGAAAGACACCGGATCGACTGGCTCGCGCTGGCGCTCGCCCTTTCATAGTAGGAACAATTCCAGGACTGACCATGGGTCGCCGCGCAACGCTTCGGGCCGGCACGGACGCAGGCGGGTCCCAGCGGGCGCGGCCGCCGGTCGCGGTTCGTCGAGGGCATGATGAACGACAGCGTCAGTGAGAAACCGCCCAGCATCTTTCTGCGCGACGGCAAGTCGGCCAATGGACAGAATGGCCCGACGCATCGGTCGTCGGGGATTTTTCGCTTCGGGAAAGCCATCGCGTCCGCGTTTAATCCGTTTGGTGGGTGGGGAAATGTCGCCGGGTGGAAGGGGTCGCCGTCTGCCGAGGCGAATAAGCAGTCGGCGGACGATGATATCGCGCGTGTCGAGAAGGCGTATGCGGAGTTGAAGAAGGCGGGCTATCGGGGCGCCGTCAAGGGCAAGTACATGGCTGATGCGGGGTCGCAGTCGAGTAACAACCTGGCGGACCAGACTTGGAAGTCAATCCAGGAGAAGATGGACTACAAGCCGCCGACGGGACGTCACTCAAGGCAGAATTCAGGTGAGGGTCATGAGTCGAGTGGCTCGCTGCGCAATTCGTTCCAGGAGATCCGTCGTGCCAGGTCGTCACTGGGCATCACGTCGAGTTTTATCCCCCTTGGTCGTCGATCAGAAGACACCGACCAGCCGCAACTGCGCAAGCAAAAGTCAAAGAGAGAGAAGCTGCTGAGACGGGTGAGCACGCTGGAGGAGAAGCTTGAGAAGGCACGGCGAGAGCTGCAGGAGCTCATGGGCGACGATGCACCCCCGATCCCGGAGCGATCGCACTGTCATGATTCATCTCACCAGAGGAAATTCGTGCCCGGCGCACTCCCTACACTCCCCTCCGAGCGACTCCTCAACAGCCATGACCCAGTATCCCCAATCTCGCCTGCATCCGACTCAGCTCCCCCGATGTCACTATCAGAGACCATCCAACGTACCATGCAGAGCCAGGACCCCGAACCAACGACGACAACCATCGAGCCCGAGTCCACAATCAAAACCCCAGCCAAATCCCCAGCCAAATCCCCAGCCAAATCCCCAGCCAAATCCCCCAGCCAGCGAACAACACAGTCGTTGACCATCGACAGCCCATCACTCAAGCGCAAATCGCCCGACCCCGAATCCGCCAGCGCAGCAAACACCCCTAAATCCCCGAAAGAAAGCACACCAAAGCACACCGAGGAAGGCAACCAATCCGACTCGTCTCGGCGATCCAAATTCCCCAAGACGTTCCGAGGCGACAGCCCCGGCTCCGTCGAGCGCAAACAAACCCCGCGACAGCGGGACGAAAACAACACCCCACATTCCCCGAGCGAAGAGCGCGGCCGAAGGAGAAGATCCTCGCAACCGCTGCGGTCGCACAGCAAGCGGTCCCCCTCGGTGAAGAGAAGGGCGTCCAATTCTCGGAACAGAGGCACCACCCCGTCGCTGCGCATGAAGAAGGGACGTGCCGATCTGAGATCCGCCAGTGCGCAGACTATGATCGACAATCGCGATAAAGAGAACCAGCACGCAATCCAATCCCGACAGAACCACCCGCACTCAGACCCGATTGATCTTGATGAACTTGATGCAAGCCCGAATTCATCCCCAAGCAAGCGAAAGGATCAACGGTACACATACAACTACATCCCGCCCGTGCCCCCGTTGCCCAAAGATATAGCCGCGACAGCTGCGAAAGTGGACCGAAGGCTAGCAAAGGAGATTGGGCGGCGCGAGCGGAACCGGAAATCAATGGCTCAGGGAAAGATGAACGGCAAGGCTGAGGATGCGTTCCGGTGGCCTGACGATATCTTCTGATGCGTCAGCTCTTTTGGTATTGGAAGGGCATCATCTGGATAACAGAACAGGACGAGGCGCTGGATACATATCAAGCCTACAAAGAGAGAAGAAGAGGAAGAACGGCGGAGTGTTGTATTGGTACACACGCCAGGGGAGAAGAGTAGTTGAAGTTTCCTATGTTAATACTCACGAATCTAACGAAGTTACGACCATTCCCACATAGTCAACCAGAACTACATAAGCCACCCCACATATCTATCCCCATATGCCCCTTAGGACCAGAATCAAACCTCAACACCACCAAGAAAAACTACAAAATAGCCGTAGCATTAGCATGCGACCCAATGCCCCCAACAACATTAGCCGGCGCACTGGTCAAAAAAAACGTCCACCTGCCCACCTCCCTACACCTTTTCGCAAGACTCTCCAAATCCCACATCTCACCCAGCGGCATACCCCAAAGCGCCAAAATATTCTGATGAATAAACCCATTCTCCTTGACCGGCGGCCAAGCCTCAAACGTAGGCGAATCGCCCGCCACAGCCGCAAAATAGCAATCATGCAACCAGTCCAAGACCTCCTCTTCCTGGTTCAGGCCGGCCCAAGCCAGGTCCTCGTGGGCGCGGGTGGCAGCCGCATGACGCTCCGCGGAGGAGAGCTGGTGGTAGTGCTCGACGAAGCCGGAGCGGACGAGGAGGATGTCACCGATGCGCACGTCGCCGCCTTGCGCGGCGGGCCGGAGATCGAGGCCTTGTGATTTGGCGCAGGCGTGCAGGTCGGCCATGCTGATCGGGTGGCGCGTGTTCGGGTCGTACTGGATGTTCTGGGTGTGGGCGTAGTGCCGGTAGTCGAGCAGGATGGCGCGCGCGGCGATGCCGTGGGCGGCCCAGTGGTGGATGCTGCCTCGGGTGGTGCAGTTGGGGCCTGGTTCGATGTCGGTGGAGGTTGTCTGTTTTCTAGTATTAGTATCAGGGAACGGTGCTTGGGTGTGGTGTTTTCTATGTATGTGTGTGTGTGTGTGTATATGTATGTACGTACTCCGTTGTAGAACAATTTGGTGTCAATGTGGGAGACTGGTAGGTTTTCTGTTAGTTTTCTTTCTATTCTTATAGAGAAGGGTAGGTGAGAGACGTACATGGCGAAATCCATCCCACTGAGTCCCGCTCTGCGTGTTCATAGTATAGATATCGTCGTACGCGACATCCTTGATCAGCGGTTTGATATTGTGCTGGAAGGTCTCGCGTCCGAAAGCCGGTGTCTCGGGGACGTGCACCGGAAGACTTAATACAGCGCATTAGACTTCCGGACTCTGGTATATGAAATGAGCAAACAAACTCACTCCAGGCGAAACATCTCGCCGGTCTGAATCTCCGCGGCGGCGGCTTTGACTCTCGCCGGGGTGAGCAGGTTCAGACGTCCTATCTACGAATACTTAGTATGACGTAATAGGGTTAAAGGCTAGGTCTAGAGCGAAGAAACAGACCTCGTCATCCTTCCCCCACACCCAGGCTGCGCCTTCCGGCGCTCCCGGGATCTTGGGGAGTTCTTTTCGAGAGGGGAACTGCGTACTGTTGGGGTCCCAGGGGAGGTTGTCGGCGATTTGGGTAGTCATGTTGGCGTTTGGACTGGAAGTTATAGAAGAAGGAAGCGAAGTAGACAGATGGTCAGCTATCTTGCTGAGTCTTTTTGAGGTGCTGGCCATTTTGGAGGTCTGGCCCCGCTATATAAGATAATACTGCGAGCTGTCTCGGGTCAAATTTCTGGGAATCTCGGTGGGACAGTGGATCAAGGCGGGTCTGGGGATGGCTTTGGAGGAAGACGAATGGAGCCATGTTGAGAAAATAGCATTTCTACGAAGCGCGTGCCGTGGTTATAGTTTAAAGTCTCCATGTATATCCGCAATCAGCTACTTCACCGAGGCAGTAAACTTGAACGTCATGTTGTGGATGCGGGGAGGAACAGCAGGTTGAGTAATCCCAGTGCAGATCAGCTCCGCAAAACCCAAGGGAGATATAGATTGACAAATCAGAGACTACAGTGTCTGGTCTGTCATGGAGCTCTGCAGTCGGTTGTCAGTTGAGGTCCATACCGAGGGAGGGGTGAAGGTAACCGACGGCAAATGAGCACAGCAACGGCAAAGCTTCTCCATCTGTAGCCAAAGTTTATCAATGCACCACTTTGGGGTAGTTATGCGTGTCGCTGGAACCACACAAGCAATTACAAACTACGAGCAGAGCACACAATAATGGTAGACCAAACGGCCTCCGTTTTTCTCGTTTTCATTCATGTTAGATCCATGGGATCACTTGGATTATGGTACAGGAGAAATCAAGGTCCCAGTCGTATCCAGTTTCCCGGCGAGTATCCCCAGAGATACTTCCAGCGGCACTCCTTCAACAGGCGCCGAGGGTCGACAGGGACCAGAAACCTCCATGAATCAAATATGCAGACATAGGATGTGGGAAACAAGCCAACCTATGCCGCCATGCCCGGGACTGCGCGAGTATGCCGGGAAGACAAAACATGATTATCATCAAAATATGTGATCAATGCAATGGAGGCGATGCCCAACCCATGCAACATATGTAAAACGCCATAATTCGACGCCGCGTAACGAAAAACCATCCCAGCAGGTAATTCACCAATCCCCACCGTAACCATAAAACATCCCAAACATGAGGAGATCTTGACTGTATGCCAAGTATTCGTGAGAAGGTACCATCAGACGCCGGGTAATATCAGAAACAAGCCAGGGAAGGACGCATCACTTCCAGAAAAGGCAAAATAAAGGAAAATATTCAACGCTAAGCGCTTCAAGAAATACGACTGGAGATCGGAATCAAGTCGGGGATGCCAAAAGGCAACACTAGTTCTGGGCAGGGACGCCAGTGGACTGAGACATATTACGGCCTCCACGCATACCACCACGGCCACGGCCACCGTAGCCTCGACCATAGCCGCCACCGCGACCACGGCCATATCCTCTGCCTCTGCCACGGCCGCGGTAACCGCCACGATAGCCGTCGACACTACCTTGACCGAAGGTTTCGATGTTACGCTTCTCTTCTTCACCACGCCACTCTCGGCCACCGGCACGAGCAGCACTACCTTCTTCGCGATCCCGAGCTTCACTCGAAATATTGTCAAAGAACGAGCTGGACTTGTTATACGCAGCAGCATAGCTATCGGATGGTTCCGGTTCGCCATTGGGGATGTGAGGCTCGACCTCGTGAACAGGAGAGCCGGTGGCAATGGCTTCCTTGACCAAGTCCTGCTTGTTAAACTTGGCATTTGCGGTCTCGAAGTCGTAGTCCGTTTCTGGAACCTCGATCTTCTTTCCCTGGTGCTGGCCACGATGACCACCACCACGGCCGCCGCGAGGATGATGACCACCCCGGGGTGCACGGTGCTCATAAGGCTTCATTTCAGCCATCTGCTTCGTGACACCCTCAACAGAGGCATCGCCGGGCTTTTTCTGAGCCCCGGGTTGGGGCAACTTAGCCATAGCAGCTGCTACGGCAGCAGTGGCAGCACGAGTAGCTTCAGTAATCGCTGCCTGGGCTTGACCTTGCGGGACACCAGCGGGGCCAGGAACCTGAGCAACTGGCGGCTTACCGGGGGCGGCAATAGGTATGGCAGGCTGCACACGTCCACTGCGTGGTCCGGTGGGTGGTGCCTTAGCAGTTCCAGCCGTGACTTGAGTAGGACCAGTAGCCGCTTGAAGAGCCTCCGAAACAGGCGGCTTAGACTCAACGGGAGGAGTGGGGGCATTTTGGGCCGCATTACTAGGTGCGGGCGTGCCATTACGGCTACCAGGCTTACTGGAGGGCTTATCAGAGACGGGCAGTTCGGATGTGTTCTTAGGCAAGTTCATAGGACCCGCACCGGGCATTGGCCGCGGCGGAGGGGGGGTCTGATGCTGGCCGCCAGGACCCATTGGCATCTGGGGAGGAAATTGGCCTGGCTGGGGGAACCCTTGTCCGGGAGGGGGGAACCATCCTGGTGGAGCTCCATAAGGCATATTTGGAAACCCGGGACCAGGGGGGAACCCAGGTCCACCAAAGCGTTGTCCATAGGGTGGGTAGAAGCCTCCTTGGAATTGTGGTTGGGGATATCCGGGAGGCGGCGGACGGGGCATCTGAGATTGTTGTGGCGTCTGGGACTGAGGGGGGATTCCTTGAGGGGCGGGTCCTGGACGAGACATGTTCTATTTTTTACAAGGTTAGCCAAATCCCTTGTAGAGTCTAAAGATGAAGCTGCAAGGTACGAAGTCCATGATCTGATCAGAAGGAAGGCAACGGAAATCTCCACACGGTTTTTGCGCTGTTCGGAACAGGTCTGTGTTTACATCCGAAATAGTTCATCATAAGATCATTTTTACCGACGACGAACGTCGGTGGACTCGAGACACCAGCTACGACTATGGGAAGTATCTCTGATATTGTGGTTCGACTTACCCCTAGAATGGCCGGATCATCTGGCATCTGTGGAGGCTCTGGGGCTGCATCTTCCTTCTTGTCCTCGGCTACACTGATGTCCTTTACATCGCTGCCACGGAAGACGATATATTCATAGATATTGGAAGCAGGTGGAAGCTCATCTGCGGGGTTGCCTCGCCGGCCCTCGGTACCGAAGGACACGACATTCTCGAGGGCTATTGTGGACGCTTCAGGGTTGATTTCATGTAAAGTACCCACATAGCTGCGCCGGGGGGTCAGTAAGATGCACGGCCATCGTGGACGATTAGAATTGACAAGGGAGCGATGGTTACATACCGAATGTCACTCTTGGAAATCAGGTTGAACCGCTGACTGCCAGGTGTTAACTCCAGCCTAGCCGCACAAACCCTGGTTCAGACCAGTAGGCATTGAAGACTGACCCTATAAGATGGTTCATATCCATGTTGAAGGGAGAGATGCGCGTCAATCGCGCAAGAGAAAAAAGAAAGAAACGATGAGAGGGAAGGGAAAAGGGGGAAAGACGGTGGTTTATAAAGGAAAGAATTGAGGGAAGGAGGAGAAAGAGGGAAAGTGAAGGAAGAGAGAAGAAGAAGAAAAGGTGGAACTTCTGGTTTTGTGGTGGGAAAAGCTTTTCGGGATACGGTGGGCAAGAGAAGCTCAGTGCGCAGTTCGTTCGTTTCGTTTGCCGGAAACAATTCAATCAGTAGAAGATAACTAACTCCACTCCGCATTCTCCATCTGCAGTTCCCCTCCACTTCCCCTGCATGCGACATTCATTCCCAGGTAGTCTACGTATTATTGATATCCCTGGTGATTGTTTGATCACTTTTACTCAACATGTCTCGTTCTTCTCATCGGGATGATTTCTTTCAAACTACGTCAGTCCTACTATCCATCCATAGAACGTCGTTACCTTCTTCACTCGCGCTTTCCAGTCGCTGATCTTCTTTCCCGTATTTGCAGTGCTGCGCTTGACGAGCAGAAGCGAAAGGACGCTAAATCTAAAAATACAAATGGAGACCCCATCAGGCTACAAAGTAAGATCTTGGCAGTCGAGGCAGACCCTCTGAACCCTGGCGCCGTATTCGTGGCACAGAGTGGTGGCACGGTCAGAAAGATTATACTCGAAGTAGGTGCACGGTGTCCTTCTTGTTGGATGCCTCGCTGGGATACGTAACTAAGCCAATCGTCATCTGCCTCGGTTCACTTGTAGACAGGTGAAACTGCTGCTCTTTATAAAGGACCAACGGCCCCCATCACAAGCGTCTGCTTTAGCCCCGACGGTCGATTACTATTCGCCGGTTGCTGGGATAAATACGTCTGGTGCTGGGATGTGGCTTCGAAGGAAGTGAAACAGAAATATGAAGGTCATACCGACTTTGTAAGAGCGGTAGTCACTACCAGACTCCAGGGCAAGGATGTCCTTGTCTCCGGCGGGGCTGACGCGCAGATCTTGGTGTTCGACATTGCCAGTGGCGAGCGGCTCTCCGTCATGAAGGGACATGCCAAGGGTATCCAGGGACTTGCCGTAGATCCAGTCTCTTTAGATTCTGACAGCCAAGAGTTGGTTGTTTTCAGCGCTGGTAGCGATCGGGAAATTCGCCATTTCGATATCGCAAGTGGCAGTAAAGATCTGACTGGCACGGACGCCATCCTAGCCCATGATACAAATGTGTTCAAGCTCTTCTTTGACCGGGATGCCGACTTGTGGACTGCCTCTGCAGACAAAACTGCAAAATGCCTCGTGCGAGAGGAAGGCTGGAAGCCAAACTTGACATTAACTCACCCAGAGTTTGTCCGCGACGTGGTTGTCTACGAGCAGGGTGGCTGGGTTGTGACTGCTTGCAGAGATGAAGAGGTTCGCGTATGGAATCGCTCGGTGAGTGTTCTTCTAACCTGTATGCTATGTCTTTATTAATGTAATGAACAGACCGGACAACTTTACCATACCTTCTCTGGCCATTTCGAGGAAGTCACAGGACTAGTACTCCTGGGCTCAACGCTAGTCAGTGTCGGTATCGATGCCACCATCCGTCGGTGGTCCTTGAAGCCCGAAGATCTCCAGATCGCTGTAGAAAAGGCCAAGAACACATCGACTGAGGAGGAACCAGAGCCAAATCCTGGGTCAATGCTTACGGAGGAGGAAGAGCGTGAGCTGGCTGAACTTTTGGAAGAAGACTGATCGGGTTTCTCACGCGAGCTCATGGTATCCTATACATGATCCACGAAATAGAATCATTTTCTAGAACTTATACTATAATAACTCACGGTGACAGAAGAAGGGTAATTGGACTAACATGTCTCACAACGATTTAATCTTAACAATAGAGCTTTCATCAATGGTCATATATACATAAATTTAGCCATCAGGCTCTTCAACCGCCTCCATGGTCAATTGTGAAACAAACCTCAGTAATCCTACCCCTAGTATACTTATATGGAATGAATAGTACGCCATATCCCAATCATTCATGAAAGACCGTGGTCTTCACACCACCAAGCTCAATATTCTCATCATTCGCCTTTGGAGGTTTATCCCAGTTCCTCTTCACTCTCGCCCTCACCCACTCCCCAGCGGATACTTGTGCCTCATCATCTCCATCCGTCTTGAACCCCAAACGTCTCAGCAAAGGGCTATCCACTGTCTTCAGATCCAGCCCATCACCCGGCCTGACAAAATACAGAACACCCAGTCGATCGATATGGGCCTGGTCAGGGGGTGGCGCGATCACCCGATGGACGCTGCTCTTCAGATACCCATTGGTCCAGAACTGCAACGCATCCGCGATATTCACGGTGATACTATTCGGATACGGCTTCACATATTTCCAAGCGCCCTCAGGCGTCTTCACCTGCAAGGCCGCAACAGGCTGTCGGAACAAGAGCGTCAAGCTCCCGAAATCCGTATGTCCGCGCGACCAGAGATTCTGATGCCGCGCGTTCTCCTCGGCGCTGCGTGCCCGGTAGATCATATACCGGAGGTGGCAGTCACTGGGCCCGTCATACGGATGGCCACGCACCAGATAATCCTCCGGCAACTCGAGAAGGATGGCGATCAGCCGGAAGAGCTTCGTGACGATGTGGTCGTAGATGAACCGGTGGAACCGCTCGATTTCCTCGTAATGCCGCAGGATCACTTCCGGGTGTGACCGTGCGTACCTCGGGATGAACTTGAATACATTGTACAGTTCGATGTTGTCGCGTAGGCCTGGCAGGATCTCGATTGCTCCCAGTGGTCGGTAGCCGTTGTAGTTGCCGGCTTCGAGGTCGGCGCGGTGTTTCAGTTTCTCGGACTCGGGAAGCTCGAAGAGTTCTTGGCCGATGGCGAATTGGCGGTCGATTTCTTCCGGCGAGAGTCCGAAGTTGGTGATGTAGAAGAACCCTGATCTGTGTTGGTGTGTTGTGTTGGATGTACACTGGGGGTTACTTACCGATGTTGTGGACGGCGTCTTTCAATTGAGCTGCCAGTTTCTCTTTACCTCCTGGTACATCAAATTGGGAGAGATCGAGTGTGACGAGGTCAGCCCAGTCGACTGCGCAATTAGCATTATAGAATTATCCGTGGGCGGCTTAAACATACGCTCATGCTTCGTTTCAGGTACATGGACGTACCGTCTTAGGGTGGAGGAACTGGCTCCGTCTGGGACACTCGGCTGGCGGGCTACTTCAGTCATGGTTAGTTTAGCTATAAATACGATGGTCAAGTTATTGAATTAACTTGAGGACTGCAGGCGTAAGTCTGGTCCGGACAGACACGAAAGAAAACGGGGATTTATACATACAATCTGCATAACCCCTCACTTGACATCTGCAGCTTGTTCTGGGATGGTGGAGTCCGGCAGATATGAGAGGAGGTCATAGGTCTGTTGGAACTAAGTTGACGATGGTGAAAGCATTCCTTGTGATGGCGTGAGAGGAGATGACTCGTGCCGAGAATACACACCACTATTCACATAGAACATCAGATGTTGAAACACAGTCTACATTGTGGATCCCTATTTTGGCATTTATGAAAGACGTCTATTAATCTAAATTAGCTGCTTAAATTCTCATGTTGATATCTGTAATGGCTTATGTTAGACGGCTACTTAGAAAAGCTCCTATCGCGGTACCAATACTTCATATAAGAGATACCTTAGAAGCATCGTATTTCACTGTCTATATTCAATACTAAAACGGTATCGCTTTCACAAGCAGTCCCCGATGAATGAAAATAACAAATTTAGGGGAATAATTCAGTAGCGCAGAGTCAAGGATCAATCATAAAAGCACTTGCGATCTCTGTTTCTTTCTTTCTCCAGCCCAGAGACTGAGGTTCTCCAGTTGATACCATCTTCAATTGAGATCCCAAGTTCCTTGCTAATGTATGGCAGCGTATCTTTTCGCTACCACTGCACGATCCAGGGCAAATCGCCGGGAGAGTGATTACGACTCAAGTACCTCAGCCATAAATCAAGATTCTATTAACCTGATAGAGCCTAACTGGACTCCAATATATTCCGCATCATGTCTCCCAGACGGACGGGCCCTCCGAGATGATGAAGCAGATCATCGGAATATTCCTCTGCTATGCAATAGCGTCGATGGAATCCGCTTTTGACTGGCACAAGGCCTTGTCGCATCTGCTCTTCATAACTCATACAGGATGATAATATTCTTTCTCTGCTGAATATGCTCGGTGAAGCGGGCGTGTCAGAATCGATGCCTCAGCCCATGAAAGATCCCATCAGTAATGCACTGGGAGTTGAAAACCACTGGAGCGAAAGGTGGAGAACGAGGCCCATTTGCCCAGTGACTGGCGTTTACTTAGTCTTTGCCGATTATACAACTTCAATTAATCGCTTACATATGCACAAAGACCCGGATGTAGTTACTATGACACGCCTAAGGGCCGAAAGGGTTGTTGGAGAGATCAAAATCTTTGAGTCGAAGAACATAATGTCTTCGAGGCTCAATGTTCCGGATGGTCCACGTTTCGCCAGGCCCTAGGTATGTTCAGTATAACAGAGCAGCCAAGAAAACCCTCAATGCAGACCTCTATCTCACCCAAGGGCTCGAAGAACCATAGGCCATCTCCGGTTCAAGCCATACAGATGTATTGCTTATTCTTGATTGCCGCTGGGTCCATATAGCAACTCACGCGCCGGCTATCCCACGCAGAGTTGTCGAAGTACTCACAGGCATTGAGCAAGGTGGGTATCCATGTGTTTATACGTATCTAGATTCCATAGACTAAGTGTAGTTTTGATAACCATAGGTCAGCTCGCAAGGTATATGGACGACCATTAATATCCCAAACCAACAGGTACCTACCAGACCCAGAGCCTATGGATGAAGTCCAAACTCACCACACATGTGGTCAATCAAGATATACAAGAACCCCCAGTCTCAGAGGACTTCTGCCCAGACGTTTTGGAGACGTCAAACATTGACATACTAAAGTTAATGGCACTTGTTGGATGTCAAGCAAGGCTATAGATTCTTTACAATCTATGAGTATACCTGGTTTGCCTAGCGGATTTACAACACTTACTTTGCTATGTACCTATCAATAAGCATAACGGCATACCTATCTGCGAATAATATTCTACCGAGAGAATATCTTTTGGCAACGGCTCTTAAGGTTTTAGATAACAAAGGAAGTTATTACGGTATAAGATACGGTTCAAAATGGGTAAGCTGTGGTACTCTGGAAATTTTCCACCGTTACTAATCTCTCTACCCAGACTATTCGTGGATACCACACTACCCTTATAACGCGTAGGGTGAGGATGAAGCGCCACTAAACTACTGTATGTGCTAGTTCGGTCCGTGGATTCGCGACTAAGGATGACTGGGCCGGCGTTAATCTACAATACTAGCGGTTACAGTTGATCTGAATGCATTTGGTCTTATGGTTCAGACTTTAACCTGCTTTCATGCCTACTTTGCATTTGGAGCCCAGCCTGTCTTGTTTCGGGCTACTTGCAGGATCATAAATGCGACCACTGACCAGCAATGAGTATTTAATTTCATCTGTCATTAGCCTTAAAGTGAGGCGGGCTGCAAAATTGAATAAATGACTACGGACATTTCAAAATACATTGTTTTTATCGAAAAATGGCACAACTCCAGCTTCCACAAGCAGTGGGAATTAATGCTGGCACAGTCAAATCCCCTTGCTCAGCTCCTCTCCCCTCCATTACAGACTCTCAAAATAAAAGAGAATCAATTGATAACAATCATGTTGTGGGACCTTGTCCGCACCCTATATGTAACTGTATCTGGAATGAAGATATCCCCGGTTTATAAGGCATCACATAGGTCAAGGAGAATTCCTCATAGAAACTTGTAGTCCCAGGATAGTCGCTGAGGGGAAGCTCCGTACATGAGATTGAATCTACATAAGGGCAGATGGAAACACCTGAACTCAGTAACCACTGCATCACTATACTAGACCACACTAGCTAACAATGTCTCCTCCAGTGTAGCTACGACCCTAATCCAACCAGGTAGCCTCGTACGGCGTCGCGTTGTCTAGGTAATGGAGTGAGGCAACGAGGTCTAACGTTTTGTTCGATGGAGTCCAACCCAGAATAAACATCCAGCCCTCGGATGTATCACTGAGGTACATATAATCTGTCAAGCCGCTGGGATCACCGTTGGTCTTGTCCTCCCAAGACGCAACGCGAAGGCCACCCGCAGAACCAAGAGTCACGGGAGCTTCATAAAAAGTCACTGCCGTTTCGCTTTCGAGGTACCCAGCATCGTCTAGCTCGAATGCGGCAACATATCCATTGGCACCGGGGCTCTCCCAACTGCGGGTCGAAGCAAAGAGATACTTGCCATCTCGAGATGGTTGGACGGTATTGCTTCGGAACGTGAACTGACCTCGTACATCTGTTGTCTTTTGCATCAATTATCCGTAGTGACGTTTATATTGCACAGGGTCTCTTTACCATCGGGAATAACGCTGCCGCGTTGGACATGCCGGAGTTGAGTCTCGCCAATTTCGTAAACATCAAGCCACTGAGCTAGAGATATTGTTGTTAATACAGTAATTCAAACCACAAAAGTTCAAAGTCGTTACCCACTATGCTCGGTTACCTGTAGGCGTTAGTTAGTTTCGTCGGCCACAGTTCCCTACTTGAGTCGCACATACCACGTAGAGGAGCTTCCCATTCTTATTAGCATAGGAATTCCGAGGGCCGTCGCCTTCCATTGGGCTCAGATTGATGGACTGAAGCTGAGCAGAGTCATTGTCTGCGATTTCGTACATAAAGATCGAGTCCATACCCCTAATAAAGGTCAGCACAGACCCAAAATGATATGTTAGGTTTGTGATTGACTAACAGATGGGGAACAAAGCGCTTGTTATTCACATTGACATCGAAGGCATGGGCACCATGCAACTGGTTCACAGGAAAAGATGTCAAAATTCATATACGGAGCCAGAGAGATTGACAATGGTTCACTTACAACGGCTTGCCTGGTTTTATCCACACTATCAATGTCCTCCTCTGGGATAAGATAGAGCTCTTGAATCTCATCTCCAATGGCGCCATCATCGAGTGAATGAATGTGGCTTTATAGCTCACGGTACGCCAGTCACACGGAACATCCGTCCGATCCCCGAGCAGCTGCTTTTGTGTCGATAAAACAGGAGCTCCACAATTGGCACTCGTCTCTGCCATCGTACTTGCATATATCGCCAAATGGCATGCCTGAATTGAGTCCACCGCCCCATATCACATCGCTGAATTTAATGTATCACAACGCGCTGATCCTCCTTCATCGACCACACGTTGCGAGTGGAGAGGTACCTCGCTCGGCTACTATTCGACAGAGCTGGAAAATATGTCGATCAGCAACAACTGCAATTTATGGCCTTCTCAAAATGCACATCCATACTTTCGGGTTCCATCATATCACATACATGAACAGCTATTGTACCTACACAGCTGCCACAACAGCTGTATACCAACTGGAGGCCTTAGAGGATGGATCACAGCCTGCACAATCCCACCAAGCGGCGTGGGCAGAGCTGAAGTTTCTACTCGATATACTTCAGCGTACTGCCACGGCCATGCCCAGTCTGAGCCGGAGCATTGAGATCATTAAGGCGCGAATAAAAAAGATTCTTGACCGCCAGGTTTCTAGACAGCTCAACGCGCTCTTCCCCGAGCGAGAGCCGAATGGATTCGATAACGTACGCCCTGCGAACGAAACACTCCAAATGTCCCATGCAGGGGGAAACGACAATGTCTCAAATACTTCGCCTGAACGCTCCTCGGCAGGCACGGCCTATGAGTGGGGGCCTCATATGAGCGCTGTGGTGGATGAGGATATCTGGCTTCCTGCGTTTCTCGCCCAGGACATTTCATATGGGCCAGAGGTGATGCTCGATGTGCAGGATGGCCTGAGCCCCGAGACGCGGTCAGCACTCATGGGATCAAATCTTGATCCACAATTGCGATTGAATCTTTCAGCGCCTGGCTCAACAATGAGCAATGGCCCCTTTCCTGATGCATTGATTGATCAATTATCAGATGTTCCAGCAGGCGAAAGAGACAAGTCATCATATTCCGCTATCTAATTGCTTGATTACTGTGGCCTTCATGGGATCTACCCAGAGATCTTTCTGGGATTCATCCTTCAATGGATACTGCTAATCAACACACACGCGAGACTGATCTTCATTCTTTACGCGCACTGTGCTTTCGAACCTCAAGACCAAGTAGAGTGGATGGCTTCCCTGACTGCTATATTGACATTGTCATACAAATTCCTCCCAGTGAGAATATTGATAAAATCCAAGATGAACTTACCAATCGCCATCTGAAAGGATCTGAACCCAGCTTGTGTATATCTTTGAGTAAGTCTATCGGTTTCTGTTAAATAATAGCTGGTATCGATTTGTTTGCTAACAAACACTGGCTATCTCGCAGGATAATATTGGTTCAGCAATACCCCAGCTATCTTAACCACAGTATCCAGCTGAACAAGCTTTATCCGATCAACCTTGCGGGCCTCGATTTCACCGACCCGAATAGTAACACGTCCTTCTCGGTCAATAGGGAGCCCGTATGTGGAAACGTTCAACATGAAATGGTGTGTTCAATCTTAAGGATACGCCATCTAATATTATCTCATCAGATACCCGAAAACCATAGGTACTCAACATTTGATAAAAACGCGATTCTTACCTGGCTGTATAACGCATCGACCAGCATGATTCCGCATGCCTGATCCCTTATGGCTGTGATCTCATCCCGGCACTAAGCTGAAGCGTGTCTTCCATTGACGTCTCGTACTCGATATCGCCCAGAGTAGACGATGAGCTACTGTCTAAACGCCGCAGCACTTGGTGGGCTTAGATTTCCGGTGATGCCCATGTAGTGAAGTGCATGAAATTTGTCGAGGAAGAGTTGTGTGTCGTAAGGAAGATCGGGAGCCTCATCATCATCATGATCCCCTCGCAAAGCCTCTATCACATGCACCACAGAAACGCCAAAGAATGTGCGCGGTTCGCCCGCGAATACGCGAAGAGATATGTCGACATCATTAATCCATGGCCCAAAGAGGTTGAACATCACAACTGGATTCGTAGTAAGGCCGTCCCACCCATTCATCACGATGACAACGGGTAGCCCGGTCTCCTTGCCCGTGGCAAGGAGTTCGGCTATAGTGCTTGGTACGGTATCGGAAGCGAATTTCCTGGTGGAGGATTGGGCGAAGACGAGAAACGGCAGTTCTTCAGAAAGAGGGCCATAGTGGTTCACGTACGCGGCACGTGTGTATGACAAGCTATGGTTTAGAAATTCCTGCCACCCTTCTTCTTCGCAGTCGGCCCGCGCAACGAACAACACAAGTTCGGATCTCTCCATTCTCGTAAAAGATAAAGTGTAGTTGGGGGATCAGGGTGATGTTTATTAGACTGTGAGATAGGTGTGATAAGAGTTGTGTCACTATAAACAGTTCAGCGTTGCTTGATCAAGGAAAGTTGAAAGGGAAGTGAGGAGTTGCACCGTTGACTCTTTTGGGATTGAGGGGTCACGTTATCAAGTGCAAATGGCCTGTTGGTACCCTAATACCTATCTTTAGCCCAATCAGATTAGTATACGTTTGGGAGAAATAGAAAATTCTTCATTGTAAGAATAAGTTGGTTTGCAATGTAAGGTGTATGAGAAGCGTGTATTAATTATCACGGCATGTTTTGGATACCACTTACGATCACCAGCACCTTAAACATACAGTGAATAACGACTATTTCAATTCATGAATAATGACTCTCATATCTGATCCACACTGGCGATTTTTCCGCCAGTTGTTTTAATGTCGCTCATTTTTTGCATGCTTGACCTGTTCGAATTCCACGAATAAACCCGAGAGAGCAATTGGATGAATGGTGAGAGAACAATCCATAGGAAGAAGAGAATGGATGGAGGAGAATTTGGGAAGAGGACGGTAAGCAGATAGGACGATAGTAGTTGGTTTTGGTAAAAAGAAACAGAAGCTCGAGGTGTAGAGAAATGGAATATCATGGTGAAGGGTTGAATCTCTTTTGCATATCGTTGAGGTATCCACCGTAGGTTTTCTGTTGACTCCAAATAGCGTCAGTTGTGGTACTGAATATTCAGCGCGACGGGCAGTTCTGAGAATTCTCAGATGTCAAGACATCTTATTCGTTCCGATCTGTACGATAAGGTAGCTGTCAACTATCTGTCAGATCATCAAAAGCTTATAGTAATACCAGGATCTATATACACCATTAGTAGTCCATATTAGAAGTCTCAGAGTATGCGCATGCAACCAACGTCAGCATCTCCGAAGTTCACCTAACAACCGCACTTCTTGAAGTACCCATTTGAATTCTCGAGGATGATGCTACTTATGATATATGCCTCAGTAAACAAGGACTGGAAACAAAAGCAGTTCATACACCGGAACATGCTAACAGTACTATGGGATGTAAGATCTAGTTGCAACATAGTCTAGCTATTGTATCTTACATGTGAAGCGCATTTGAAACTGACTTGACAAGAGGGGAACATATGTGTGGTGGCGCACGATGCATGTTGAGAATCAAACCATAGATTGATCGTCACTGTACTAGACTGCTATGAAACCAGTAAAGGTTTACATGTGTAAGAGCTGTTGATCATTGACGATGACAAATCTATACAACTTAACACTGCAGAACAAAGATAAGTAATCCTCGAACTACAGTGTTACGTTTGCAGAGCTCTCGTGGCGGTAGGGTGAAGAACAGCTTCTTAATTCCCAGGTTATCAAGCTTCGCAGAGACATTTATTCGTAGCTAGGTCTCTGGGCCAGTATAATCTATACTACCCGTGCTACATACATGGAGACATCTATGGCAGGTATAACGAAAAGAATGCTCACGAAATCGATGAAACCCCGAATAAGATGAATCCATGGCAATCAACAACATTCATCGAAGATAACCCAATCAACAATATAACTATTTACCTGATTGATAAAACCCTCGCTATGCAGACTATACAGAAATGGCATTGCACGCAGTTCAGCACTCCTTCCAGGCTATAATACAACTGCACGAGAATATATCCATCCATGACCACTGGCAGTCTGTCTGTGGCCATACCAACATGCAGCAGTTTAACACATCGTACGCGAAGCCTTGAATTTCGACACTGATGCCTCATGCCATGCTTCCAATTCCAGCCCAATATGTTAGTTAGTTAGACAATCTATAAATTACCAAAGCCTCCAATTGTATCAGAAACAGCTTTGGTAGCAATGAGAGACCGAAGATGAATCATGTCACGGCTCGTGGCAAGCCGCCTGCCTAAACCAGCAATGCCGGCAGAATCTAGCCCTAACTACGTTGCAGGACTTCATACGTTTTGTTTAGCTTTAGTTTATAACAAGGCTCAAACTCTCATTATAATAAGTTTTTTCGTAGGATACATAGCTGGCTGGATCCGCCGAAACTGCTTCATAAAGGCCCAGTCGAAAACGGGTCGGGGACCAGGGTAACAGGAGGACCTTGATTTCAAGAAGTACTTTTAAACTGTACATACAGAGAGAGGTTTGGAGCCAGCAAGCACTATGGGATATATTTCTAGCAGAAACTATGTGGCACACTTCGAAGATCATGTGACTTCAATATTAGCCCATTACCATACAAATCCCGCCAAAAATGCAAAAACATTGCCCCCGCGCGGGATTGAACCGCGGACCTCATCATGTCAACTTCAAAGGCAGGATGCCTAAGGCTACGAGTGATGCGCTCTCCCACTGAGCTACAAGGGCTGGTTGGTGATACAACTTCGTCTAGCACAATCTATATTTCAAATGAGTTTATATAAAGTCAGATAGGACTTTGGTGTTGATTTTGTGCAAATGGTGATCTAATCCATGATAGACCGCCTTCCCGTTGTTCCCAAAAATGATAGACTAACCTCAATAGGCAAGCGGCCAACACTGGCAGATCTAGGATGGCCATCTGTTGCTTGACGACAACGAAGTCATTGACAGATTGCGATTCTAATTTGCTTCATTCTTATTTAGTCGTCACTGTGGCAGCATGAATTTCTGGTTGTCTCGTCTAAATAACACGTTTTTTCAGGGATCGCATCACGACTACTAGTATTACCTAGCGTGATTTCATAGAGCATATCGTGTAAGAATATATATGGATACTCGTTGGCGGTTCTTGCCAGAAGACGCACGTTCTTACCTAGATTATCTACATATATATTTGCCAGTTTGTACCATCTTGATTATCAGGTATAATGTACTCAATAATTGTGACCGTTCTATCGCAGACTAGTACTGTAAAATTCAAAACTAGTGCTCTGGTCTTGTATCTTTTTTTCGTCTCCCCAGCTCCATGCCAAGAGAAGCCTAACCTGCTGGAATACACCGATCCTTGGTATTGGATCCATGAACCTGGAAAGATGAGATACATGTATCTTATTTCAGTAATAATAGTATACTGTATGCTTTGCTAATACAATACTATATGACCCTCTCACCCTGATGAGGATCTGGAGCTGCTATAAACCTATCTTCGGCGAGCCTGATTCCGATAACAAAACGACCTATCCCATTTCCTTTGCTGAGCTCACGGCGCATTCTCCTATTCTGAGCGTGTCCGTCGCTGCGAGTATTGCGTCTGCCGGTCTTCCTGACGTCAAGATTGAAAACCATGTCGGTTAACGCTTCTTATTGAGCGGGGTTGTTTTACCGTGGAGTTCAGCCGCGTACCATGCCGACCGAATCGATGAATATAGCAGTATTTCCAGACTGGCAGCCAAGGATCAATGACCTCTAGATGAAACCACTCTCCTATGAATGTCCAGAGAAGCCAACGTTGAACTTGCGACCCAAACGAATGGAAGGAGAATGGCCACAAAGTTAACGTACTTATGCAAGAAATACTGTGGTACGCTCCACAATATATTAGAGTCCGAACGAGGCCATTCTTGCAGCTAGCTCTGTGCAATGATGCTTTAGGTAGAAGTAAATTCCGTGGATCAGATCGGATTTGAAATCCTACAGGTTGCCGCATTGCTACGTATCTTCGTCCGCCGCATGTCCCAAATCTGACTACAAGCAAAAGTTGGGATGGTTGCAATGGTAATGATCGGACTATAAGAAGAGCAATCTTGAAGGAAGCTTCCCCCCATCCGCAGGCGCCTGCTTTTGTCTGTGATCTTGACGAAAAGCCATCGCGGAGGAACGCGAAAGTACTCCATCGAGGCGATCTTCCCATGAGGAAGTATTCGTCCACTTGAGACGATGTACGGTAGGGAGAGTTCAAGAATTTGGATACGAGCAGAGGATACAAACAGGACTTAGCGAGAGAACAGTGATTAGGGTTGCATTCCGCAGCTTGGGCAAGGATAACTCATTTCCGATACACTGGACCTAATCTACATTGATTTTCGGTCCACGTCTGTCCGACGAATATGAGGGTAATACCTATGCGATGCAGCTTCCTATAATTCATAGCGTTGAAGGATACTGTTTACTATTGATCGAAGTTTGGCTACAGGACTTGTGACGCTGATAACACTTGCTTAAAAGAAACCACTAAAGCTTACTGCGGGTGTAACTTGAGTCCTGGAATAAATAGATCTCTCAAGTGATGCTAGGGAGATGCGGCTTAAGTCCTATAATTTCGGTGTCAATTCTGAGGAGAGCACTATTACCAGGGCCCATGTCGTCTTGTGCTTGCTCTCCAACAATGAGCAACACAAAGAGCCTTTTTCACTGGTATAGACTATCTAAACCTCGTCCGAAATCACCAAATCATGGAACTATACTTTGATTCAAGGTAAGATCTTAAAGCCCCCACTGTTTCATCCAGAGATCCATCCAGTCTGCATCCACAGGCCGAATGTTGCGCATGGTATAACTAGCATGCTGGCCCTTATTCGTTATGATGCTGAACTTGGGATATGTGTCTTTCGCGAACAGACGTCTATAAACATCGAGTATTTTCAACGCTGGCTTATTTGCGAGATCGACATCTGTTATATTCTCGATGCTGTCAAGACGCGCGAGCCACGTCTCGTCAGCGACAACATTCGTAGAGAATCGTTTTTGTATCGCCGTGATGAGCGATTCCCATGGGACAACGGTAGGGTTAACAAGGTTAAAGAGCGAAATGGTTTCCCCTGCTTGGTAATGTTGACGCGAATCGGCGATTTCGAGGATGATTTGTGTTAAGGTATCCTGCCATGGTTGTTAACCCAACTCTTAAAAACATTTTGCTTTCTCTTGTACTTACTACAGGTATCCAATTTATTGGCACCTGGCCAAGAGTTTGCGGAACCTCACCGATCGCCTTGGATGTTATGATGAGGGCTGGTAGCCACTCTTGTTTGTTCCACATTCCTTTCTCCGTCGTGGGGCCTCCAAGCTGCCCAACCCTGTAGATAGTGATGGGAAGGCCATAACGAGCTGCAGCCGCGGCACAGACCCTCTCCCCGACGTGTTTCGCCTCCGCGTATCCTTGCAAAGGAACCGTTGCTGCATCTTCGACAATAGTTTCTGGTACGCCGGTGTCATAATCATTCTTCACTCCCCACCTCCCAACAACTGAGATGGATGAGATAAAATGGAAGTGGGCTTCATGCTCACATTCCATACCCAGAGACAATAGTTGAGAAAGCCCTCGGAGCTCAATATCTTCAAAGTCGGCAAAACTCCGGTTGAAGTTCACGTTCCACGCACAGTGGAATATAGTACCGACAGAGGTTTGTAACGTAGTATATTGTGATTGTGTCAGACCAAGCCTTTCCTCGCCCAGACTGAATTGAAAGAACGTGACCTTAGACAGGGCAGAAGGGGGGAAGACCAAGCCTCTGTCTTCGAAGCTTTGACGTTGTCTGGATAGAGCATCCTCAGCCCTGTTCAGGCAGAATATTCGTTCGACCTTTGGTTGATCAATAAGCTTGCTCAGGAGATAAGTACCCAGAGATCCTGTTGAGCCTGTCACTAGCACCGTGCTCCCTGTTCTAATTTTCTTGTCTGTTTTCTGAGATAGGTTTGTGGGAAGACTGGATGTGAACCTCTCGACGGAAGCTGCAAATCTCTTGGACCGGGACTGGTCAAGATCCACAGGTGATTTGACACCTTCACTATTCCCCGTGGCCAACGAATACATGAACTTTGTAAGGCTGTCCATATTTCGAATGGAATACAAGTGTTGGCTAGTAATTGCTTCGAAGTTGCTACCGGGGAAGTGAGAACGAAGTACACCCTGCAAGGCCTTTACGAGACGGAGAACCTGTAAAGAGTCCATTCCACGAGAGAAAAGATCAAAGTCCTCTGGAATATCCTGTATATTGAGGGCAGAGGAGACAACATGTGGAAGGTAATTGTAAAGATCCAGAGGAGAAGCATTACTGGGTAAGTTCCCCACGAATTCTCTATCTGGGCGCGCGTAGATCTCTTCAATCTCCCGGGCATAATCAGCAACTACTTGTCGACGTGAGATTGAGCCCTTGGGCAATGCCTTGAATGGTTTGGTCTTCGAGGTCATGCCAATGGTCGACCGAAACAGTCTTCCATAACCGGGAGCAAGGCGGTTGGCTTCCTGCACAACTGGCCATATCTGATCAATAAGGGAATCTTCAGAAGCATCGCCCAGCTTCTCCCAGATAGGCTCCACAAGCAGCGAGGCCTGAAACCTTCCTTGACCAGTAACAATTGCTCTTGAGACCAAAGGGTGGCTCTCGATCTTCCTCTCCATCAAGATCGGATTGAACTTCTCACCGTTACTGAGCACGATAACATCATCGAGGCGCCCCTGGAACTGCCAGAGGTTAGGTTTTGTGGGGTGGGGACTGAAAAGATCTTTTGTATTGTAGGTGTACTGATCAGGTAGCACGTGAAAGATGCCGTGAAAATCTCGCTCGCCATTTCCGGGCCGGCAGAGGATAAGTTCGTATAGGTTTCTCGCAACAGGCAACAGATGAACACCATAGGATGGATTCCATTCGAAATATGCCCAATCCTTTTTGTCCTCTGGCACTAGAACTGGGATAACACCTGCCTCACTAGAGCCAAGGAAAGAACACAGCTGAACCGTGCTCGCCAGTCTATTGCCAACATCAGATGAGAGCGGTGCTCCACTAAAGATCACTGCGTGGAAGCTTTTTAATGATTTCAGCCCTTCCGGGGAAGCGCTTAGCTCCTCTATAACTGATGGAGGAAGCATTGCGTGCGCTGGACGAGTAGCCTTGACAACCTGGCTAAATAAATCGATGGTCATTGGCCTGTCAGGGAACTGTACGAAAGGGGTCGCATGGAAAATTGATTCCGTGAACATGTATAGACCCATCATGTGAAAGAACGGACTCATGGACAGGATGGGGCCTCTACCCTCCATAGAACTGGGCATTATATTGGTTCTTCCTGCAGGTGTCGCTAGTGTTGTGATATTGTTGAGAACTGAGAGATAACCATTGGTCAAGTACACAGGTTTGGGAGTGCCTGTCTTCAGTGAGCCGGTGATTCCTAATATTAATGATAGAATGAATGGACTAACCTGTCGAGCCCGAGCTATGAATAACGACTGCCGGCTCATCCTTGACAGCCTCAAATGTTTTATTGAAGGGAAATGCACCCCCTTTGCGATGAAGAAGCTCCCACAGCGACGGAATCTCCCATTTCTTCATGTTAGATTCCTCGGTGTTGATATCGGTCGCTTCTCTTTCGCGCTCGGGGCTAAAAACCAGCTTGGAACATGCTGTGGACTTCAACAGGCTTGAATGAATCCCTGCCTGGTTCCGTGGAGATATGAAGAATGCCTAGGTAGTTTATTAGTCATTAAGCCGGCGAGAATGTTGGATACTCTTGTTCTTACCACATATCCAGTCTTCAAGCAAGCCAATAAAAATGGCATATCGTACATCATTTGCACCAATATATGCCAACACCTCGAGGCCCTTGCCATGTCCAATGCTGTCTGTTATCCACCATGCCAGGTTATTGACGGCCTGGGCGAGAACCTTGAAGGTGATACTTTGCCACCCGTCAGAGATGTCGGGAGAAATGGGATGCACGCAAAAAATAGCAGCCGAACTGGCCTCCGCTAAGTTATCGACAACATGTGGAAGCAATGCTCCACGAGTTTCAGGAGTAACCGTCATGCTATTGGTTTTTTCCACTGATAACAGTAGTAATGTTGTGATGAGTGATATGCCACAGATGAGATATCGGCTCAGTATATTAGGCCTTCTCAGAAGATGAATGAGTCACAGGGAAGCAATCCACATGCAGATGAAAGTCAAATATCACTTCTCACCGCCGCTATCTCCCTACTGACTTGTAAAAAGGGTGGCAGGATTGAGGATGCCTGCGTGAAGGCAACTACCTCGGTAGCTTTGGTAGGTGAGTACCTGTACCATTGCGCGAACCCGAACCGAGCAGCTGCCAACCGCGTACAGAATGAGAAAACGGAGAGAATGGGTTTCTACAAAGAGATTGGCAACATAGTTGGCTCCTGAATAGCTTTTTCCACAGATTGAACAGCAGACATGCATAGTAAGTCGGGACTATCCATTGAATGCCCCAATGAGCGCTGACAAGCTCAGCAGCCTACGTCTCCGGAGAACCTCGGGTATCGTGGCCATCTGTAGCGGTGTGATCAAGGTGCTCAGCCATTGGAGGCGGCGGTATGTGATATGTCAGGGGGCAATAATCATCTGATCGACGCATGCTGCACTTAAATGCAATCAACTGCATTCTGATTATTATGCGACGGCATTATGGAGGATGGCCATGTGTACTTGATAGCATAGTCTCTGTTATATGCCGAGTAGTGGTACCCCCTACACCGGACGAGTTGACAATAGACCATAGCATGCGGCCTGGTTCTCCCTCATTGGTATTGATTCATGTCTACAGCCTAAGCTCCAAATGCATGTCGGTGTTGTTGGCGGAGGGATCTCAGGTCTCTATTCAGCATTACTGCTGATTCAACAAGGGTTCCAAGTGACGCTTTTTGAAGCAACCAACCGCCTCGGTGGCCGAATATATACATACCACTTCCCACCAAGCACATTGAATGACGATCCATATTTTGAGGCCGGAGCCATGCGCATACCTTGCACTTCGATACACCGTCCGGTATTCAATCTCACGAGGCATTTAAATCAGCACACGTCTCGTGAGATGAGGATTGAATTCATCCCTTACATCATGACACATGAGAACAATATAGTATTTGTGCGCGGAAAGAAGAGAAAGGCCAAAGACATCAGTTTGGCGGCTGAACTCGGATTACCGGACGAATATTGTAATCAGAGCGCGCAGGATCTTTTGAAGGGTGCGATTGGAGAGTGGATGACACTTTTAGCGAATGACTTCGAGGCAGGTTTCAAATGTGTGCTCCAATATGACGAGATGTCTTTTCGCCAGTATTTACGCCAGGTTGTCCAATGGCCACACCAAGTGATCGACTTTGTGGAGATGATGACGAGTCAAACCAATCAATATGATTTAAGTTTCACGGAGGTCATTCTGCAGTACCTAGACTTTGGTACCAAAGGTGAGTATATCTCGATCTGGATGAACACGTCAACTAATTCAGCTCAAAATAGAATGGGTTACAATCAAAGGTGGCATGTCCCGGCTGATTGATGCCATCGCCAGTCTCGTTGGAGCCCACAATATTCACAGGAACGCAGCTGTCAGAGAGGTTCATACGAGTCCTGGCAAAAAGGTTAGTCTTGTGATTCAGGGGGCCTCTTCTACTATAACCAGAGTATTTGACAGGGTTATCATGGCAATCCCTCTCTCATCACTGAAAAATATGTTGGAACGACCGCGCTGGAGTTTTGTCAAGGAGCAGGCAATAAGTGCTACTTATTATGAACCTCTTTATAAGATGGGCGTCCACTTTCGATCTCGTTTCTGGGAAACATTTGCTACCCCATGCTTTGGAGGCCAAAGTATGACCGATCTTAGAGTGCGATGGGTGATCTATCCGTCAAATGACCTGGGAGCTAATAGGTCTGGTGTTTTACTCTTGTACTCCTGGATGGCAGACGCTGCACGGTGGAGTGCCATGCCGTTTGAAGATCGTGTCCAACTAGCTCTGCACGACCTCAGAACATTGTTTGCTGGGGAAGATGAAGCATTGGACGTTTATGAGGAGTTCATCGAAGCATTCGATATCAGCTGGTCCTGCCATTCGTCAACAGGGGGATGTATGTATCTCCCTGGTCAGTTTTCTCGTTTTTCCAAGGAAATAGGGAGGTGCGAGGGCAACATTTATTTTGCTGGGGAGCATTTAAGCTTACATCATGCCTGGATTACTGGGGCGATCTCTTCGGCGTCAACGGCCGTGAACGAATTGCTTCTGAATGTTGACAAGCCAAGACTGTAAGACTTGTAGGTATACTGTATATGGGTAATGAATGACGCCCCATCTAATTTCCTTCCATAGAAACTTCTTACTTTATCTTTATTCTCACATGTTGCTCTCCCCCTTTTATCGGCTGTATCCATCGGAATATATTTGGCCAGCGTTACCAAGGTCCATGACGTCCCATGCTCTTGAATAATTTGATTCCCAGCCAATCAGCGTCAATGATGTCTCTGGTTGGGAGGATGACTTTCCCAAAGACACTGCATGAAGCGATGTTTACAACACTCAGTCGGCCCTTGCATAGATTGTATACAGATATTGTCTGATATATCGATAGAGAAACCACCGGAATAACCAATACCCTTGTCTACATTGCATATATATTAATTGAAGATATTATTATCCAGCATTGACCTGTCGAACTGCCAAAAAGCTCGTGACTTAGCGTGAGTATAAAATGCATGGTCTTGTTGCTGGGAGACTAGGAATACGAGCACGCCCTTCGGAAGCGCTAATCAGAGTTACGCGGCGAGCGGCAAGTGGAAAAGAGGGGAAAGGAGGCTCTCGCTAACGCTACATACTGCAGCGACAGTGACTTATCAACAACTCTCGTCACTGAAAACCACACTACTATGAGTTAACCCCCCGCCCATCATGACCAGCCGGGCGATAGACGGCAGCAGAAAAGAGAAGGGAGGGCATGCGTCTCTGATCGGGACACTAAAACGCCTAACCCTCTCAACCGACAGGGTACATTGCTCCTAAGGTTAGTATGAAGGGAACATCGGACTGACATGTTTAAAAAGGGTTCAAAGAACACGTTTAAGACCCCAGCTGCGATGGTACGTGAGGCTGACACGCGTGGCCTTTTCTTTCACTGTGAGGATAGTCATTGACTCTCACTTCTTGAAAGGGGTTCCTTTCTTTACCAGCAGACACCATAAAACATATTGTCTCCTATCTGACCGTCTTGGATCGTTTCCGACTCAAACTGGCAGGGAACCATTTCCTCGCCGCTTTAATATCTACCGTTTCCCGAGCATCTTTCCAAACGTGTCTTGCACAACTGGAGCCGCTGACGTCGAAATGTTGGTATATGAATACGGGCCCAGAAAAAGCACTCCATATCGCATGTGAGGAAGGATATGACGCATTGGTCCACAAATTACTACTCGCAAATCCACACTTAATAAGCTTGACTTGCTTAGAGAAATGCTTGACTGCTGCCATTGTTTGTCACCAGGAGTCAGTTGTGCGGATGCTTCTTGTGCGTTTACCCACCGAACCGTTCTTGGAGTTCCTTGACAAGATCCGTCTTCGAAGGATCTGGTATATGACAAAAACGACTGTGGTGGAAAATATACTCGAGCAAGCCGCCGTGCGGAACTGCGAGTGGGCTATCCCACTGTTGTTGAAGCATGGGGCGCGGCCTTCATCTCGACGTGGTATACAGGCGCTGAGCGCTGCCGCTTCAGCTGGATATGAAGAAGTTGTGGCGATGTTGTCTAAGCGAATACTATGGTCTAGAGGCAGCAAGCTCTCAGGTATCTTGATTAAGGCCGCCCAGGGGGGGCATGAGGGAACTGTCAAGATTCTTCTCGATAGAGGTGCCGAAATGCCTCATGACCCTTCTTTTCCAGGTGCAAAGCATCTGGCGGCAAAGGGGGGACATGAGAATATCTTCAAACTCCTGGTCTTAAAGGATCGCGAAGACTATTTTGTGAACCCACGCATTCACCTTGACAAAGGAGTCCACATGTACTCTTCTCGCGCGCAGGTAAGGTCAGCACAACATGACCTAAAGTGGTGTGCTTTGCACTTTGCCATTTATGGTAGGAATTTTAACATTGTTAAACTCTTGTTAGAAAGGGATATGGTGCCGCAACATCATGCTCAACACAGAGCAACGGCCTTACCTCTTGCTTCTAAGCGTGGTTGTACAGACATAGTCAAGCTACTTCTGGAGACCGGATTTGATGTTTCCGCACCACTACAGGGCAGGTCCGCGATACAGCTAGCTGCAATGTACGGCTACGCAGAGGTGATAGCTTTACTTCTGGATGCCGGAGCAGCAGTGGGTTCGTGTGATCTACTGAATGCGGCATGCAGCGGCTCTGTAGCAGTGGTATCGCTCCTTCTTGACAAGGGTGCAGATATACAAGAAAAGGCTTATATCTCAGAGGAAACAGCGCTTCATGTTGCAGTCCGTCATCATCACCCGGAGGTCGTCCGTGTCCTTCTCAAATCTGGTGCAAAGACCGACGTAATGGACCATTACGGGTATACACCCTTGGCATTTGCAATCGGGCATAATCAAGAGAAGTGCATCAACTTACTAGTCGAGTACGGCGCTGACATCGAATTCGTATCTTTGAACCGGACTGGACGTCGTGGAAATGCGCTATGTTGTGCGATTGAATCCAATAAGGCCCATCTAATACCTTTGCTTCTTCAGCACGGTGCAAACATCGAAGCAGAGGGTTATGAGGGCAAGAGGCCCTTTCACCGGGCAGCTATGCAAGGAAACATTGCAGCTCTTGAAGCGCTCCTCACTTCTGGCGCTGACAAAAACGCCAGAGATGCATTGCAACAAACAGCCTTGCATCATGCATCCCTAGAAGGTGCCACTGATGCAATACGTGCGCTCCTGCGGTGGGGTCTAGATATCCACGCCCGAGACGAATATGGTCAAACACCGCTACACAAGGCCCCGTTGTCCCCCTACGCGGATTCCTCCACAGTGTACAACTTATTAGTTAGCCATGGTGCGGACCCAGAAGCAAAAGACAATGGAGGGAAGAGTGCATCTAGTTACCTTGCTGACAGGCGTGAAGCGTACTATGACAGGCTGACACGCGGACAGTGAGTACATAGAACTACTTGACAGAGTACAATCACTGGGGAAACCTATATCCCATTTAAGGTGGAAGAAAGGAGTGATGACGAATGAAAGTTAGGGTCTGGCGGAGAGCTAGCACTACCGAGGCTATCTGGATGCCATGCCACAGTACCACCCCATTCGGGGACTATGATACCGTCTATTGAAGCATTTTGGGCCTCTCTTTGCAGTCGACGGCGACTTGCGATTGAGTATCGACGTGGGGCAGTACTCTACCCCAGCAATAGGATAATATATTGGTTACTAGTACTCGACTGGGTTGTACAGTAATTGAGATTATCGGGTCACTGTGACTGTTAGAACGTCGAGCACCAGAGACATTCCGGGGGTACACTGTATCAGATAATCGTTGGTCATGAGGAGATTTGGATACGCGAACGATGCAATGAAGCTTGACCAAATCATGCAGGGGTATGTGCGCAAGCCAACAGTTAGTGGAAGAGGTCGATCCATAGCGCTCGGGATCATCCAGGCAAAACCCCATATCCAGACAGGAGCATTTTACTCTTCCCTATCACAGGACTTGAACATATTCCTGGCTGAACTTAAAACAGTTCCCGTGAAGTCGCGAATGGCTCAGCGGGTCCGTTTGTGATCGGCATCACTGAATACGAGGCACCCATTTAATCTTTCTGATAACCTGACGCGAAGGATTTGAGCCGCGGGTTAAGCAGTCCAGACATGGCTGCCTTCGACCGAGCACAGCCCAGAATCAAATAAATAGAGACGCCTCTAAGTTTTATGTCGTCCCCTAGGGGGATTGTCAAAGTCATGAGAGCCCCAAGTCCAGCCTTTCCCCGAAACCAAAATATTCTTAATTTGCGTCCATTGTCTGCTTCAACTTGATACAGTCCTCACTCCACGTCCAACATATGGAGTTGACGCTTCTTCGACGAGATGCGGAACCACTGATGCGTTCCGATGGCAATTCAAGCAAGAACAAAGATTACCAATATGAATTCAGACATCCAGACATTCAATCAGACAGGAATAGGCCGAAGTCATTTAAAGAACGTTTCGTTGGTTGGAGGCGCACGCTTTTGTTCGGATGCGTGATTTCCGTGGTTGTGCTTGTCTTCAATCTAGGCTTTACCTTATGGGCTGTTCAGCATCGCCATGTTCAAGATGGTCAAGGAGTCCTCTACGCGGGGGACTGTAAGAAGGTCCGGAATGCTGGTATAGGCTTTCACTTGGTCATTAACATTTTAAGCACCGGCCTCTTGAGTGCAAGCAACTACTGTATGGTATGCTTGAGACACTTTTCTTAACACCATACGCATACACAAACTCACTATAAAGCAGCAGGTTTTGGGTGCACCAACGAGGAAAGAGGTTGACACAGCCCATCGAACCGGACAATGGCTCGACGTCGGTGTGTTGAGTGTGCGAAACCTGTCCCAAATAACCAAGAAACGGTTCTGGCTGTGGATGTGTTTAGCCTTCTCCTCTCTTCCTCTCCATTTGATGTACGCGTCTTGCTTCGTCGCGTTCTCAACGTGTCTTATAATCTTGTAAGTTTCAACTAATAATCAGCCTTAGGTACAATTCTACCGTTTTCTCGTCAGTGTCCGCCAACGCTTATCATGTCTTTGCCGCAAACGGTTCACCCAATGGCACCGCTGTCTCGGTTATAGAATCGGACTTTGGGGATAACGGGAACCGACAAGTAGCTCTCAGACTGCATGCGAAAGCGCAAAACGGCACCCTACGCCGACTTGACAATTCCGCGTGTGTCAATGCGTATGCCACTGCATTTCAGTCGACATATGGCAGTCTCATTTTAGTGACAGGCAACGCCACTCCGGCCGATCATTTCAATCTTGTGTATACGCAACAGGTCTTTAAAACTAACGTAGCCGTTGTCGGTGCAAGTGGATATAACTGGATATGTGAAGACTTGGAACATCATAAATATGAGTGGCAATTGACTCCATGCATCACTTCTCTACCACAAGTCCAAGCTCGAGTAGCCGAAAACAATTGGACAGTGGGTGGGTACAAATCAGAGTACTGCCTTGTTGAGGAGCCTACTCCACATTGCAAGCTACAGTACAGTTTGTATTTGGTGGTCATTGTGATCGCATTTAATATTGTGAAGGCTATAGTCTTGTGCTATGTCGCTTTCAACTTGAAGGACTCTCCCCTTCTTACCACTGGTGACGCAGTTTCATCTTTCTTGAGAGCACCCGACCAGTGCTCGCGAGGCATGTGTCTATTGACTATGGAATCTGTAAGAAAATCTTCCAGAATCAGCAGAACCATGAAGTTCGATGCAAACCCAAAAAGATGGCGGTCGGCTATGTCTCGCAGGAGATGGTCACTTGGGATCACATGGTCAGTACTCGACCTCCATCTCTGTCTAGTTCTCTACATTGCTAATAAAAATGAATTGACTGATAATATGCAGTTATTCAGTTGCTCTTGTAGCCTGCGGCTCCCTCCTTGCGCTCGGATTAATGCTCTCCTTCGACTCGACCGGGATCTGGAGTGTCGGGCTAGGGCAAATTAGCACCCAAACACTGATCTCTTCTGGGGGATACACAATTTCGTCAGTGGTGGCCAATACCCTAGTGGCAAATCTACCCCAACTCATACTCTCCATGCTATATTTTGCATGTAACGGTCTTATCACGACCATGGCCCTAGCTCATGAATGGAGTCAGTATGCAAACCAGCGGAAAGGACTGCGAGTCTCTTCCGAGCCAATGGGCACACAACGAAGCACGTACTTCCTCTCTATGCCATACCGCTACGCCATTCCATTCATTATTGTATCAACGCTCGTGCACTGGCTCATATCCGAGAGCCTTTTCCTGGTCATGATCGAAGCGTACACGGTGGATCAGGAACGAGATCCCACCAACGATATAATAACCTGTGGGTATTCGGCAGTGGCCATTGTGGCAACCATTTCGGTTGGAGCTGTCGCTCTGGGTGCTCTTATCGGATTGAGCTTCAGACGTTTCAAGTCTGGGATGCCAGTCGCCGGGAGCTGTAGTCTGGCTATTGCAGCCGCTTGTCATGCCAATGCGAATCCAACGGACCTATCTCGAGAAGATGAATCAGTATTGCCGCTTCAATGGGGAGAGGTGGAAGGGAGGGAACCGGTGAGACATTGCGCCTTTTCGAGCGCAGAAGTGCATATGCCACAGCATGGCTGGGTTTACCAATAAATTCCAAGCTCCTCGTACATAGACCCTGGCTTTCATTGCAGTTTAGAATCAGTCTGATAAGTTATTACCAGCTATTCAGTCTGTTTTAGGACCCTGAAAACTGACAGAGAGAAGGCAAATATATTCTTTTCAAAGAGACCGACAGATAAAAAGAAAAGGATAACAATATACAGAAAAGTCCACCACCTAATCGTCATTCAATTATGTATCTGATGCTGGATTTCACTAGAAGAACTAATATGGTATAAGAACCAACGACTCGATATTACTTGTTTGAAGATATCTAGAGCACCAGGTTTTAACGTTGTGTACAAAGTACTATTCTCCAGCTAGGTCTTTTTCCCGCCTATATGTACCACTCATAATAGTACGAATATGCACGGTTCAGCTTCCCTTCTTTGAAATCCTGAGCCTATTTGACTGTCAGGAAAAGCCGTAGCGAGAACACTAGAACTTACTAAGGCATCAATGAAATAGTCCACCAGCTCATCCTCTTCTTCGATCCACTCTTCTTGTCTTGGTGAACGACCATCCTCTGAAAATGTTTGGGCAGAGTCAAAGTCTATCCAGAGCACCCTCTCGTACTCCCCTGAAGATACCATCATATTGCGGGGCATTGGATCACCATGAAGAACTTGTACCCTGTGAATATCATCAAGAATCTCGCGGAGTTTAGCGAGCCGTTTTACTGAAAAGTTGGATAGGGCTATTGACTGCAGATTGGGAATATACTCGATAAAAGTAGCATTAGGCGGCAGTCTGTCGTCAAAAAACATATGAAGATTTGGAGAAACCGTCGGTTGAATATTTCTCATTATCCCGTAAAAATCTGGGACAACACCCCTTTCGCACAAGCCCTTCGATTTCATTCGATGGTATGCGGTAGACTCAGAAATAAAAAGATTGACTTCGCGGTCAGGGGGATCATACTCAGACGGGCCTCTATCATGATACTTCAGTCATAAGCAAGAAGCCAGTAAATAACTCAGAATACTTACCACTTTCATAACACATATCCTTTCCTGGAAACGGACTTTGAAAACCACTGAGTATTTACTTTCCTTCAGCGTTTCGAGGAATTCAACCTCAGATAGTAGTTTCACATCAATTTCAAGAGACATGAGGGCTATGTGGAGATCGCAAGTACAAAGCAGAAGACGAGGGTTGAATGCAAGTTGTGTGTGTGTTGGCTTTGCAACTTGGGTGGTCGAATAACACAGTCAGATATGAAGTTGCATGTTCATCCCTTTCGAAGATTCGATGTCATAAGCGCCCACTTGCCAATTTAAGTGCGGCACATGTGACTTCTCTCCTTGGCCAATCCCCCCAGTCAGTATCTCGGTAGTTTCCTACGCGCCCATGAAATCATATCCAAAGGAAAACCTTTGGGTTAGTTCCTAAGCCCCTACTAAACAGGTATCAGCATCAGGCTTCCTTCTGCAGATCCTTTTGACAGCATCCTCTTTTTCTTTTCTTTTTGTTGATATACCATGGCGACCCAAGTTAGCCTCATGACGTACTTACAACATGGCCCTCCTCTACTGCCTATCATCGAACAAAGACAGTCACCACATAACACACGGGATGATAATTACGGAGCTGGTGATATCAGAAATGTGGGCCACTGGGCAGGATTCAACCTCACTTCTATCCAACAACAGTACGGGACCCTTTTAGCTGCCGCACGAATTGACGATGAACCATTTCAATCTTCTCCTCCGCGGCCAATAAACTCTGAAGCGGCAGTCAGATCCCGTATTAACTCTTATCTAACCAACCGGATTATACGTGCTCTTCGCTGCGGATTTTCATATATGCAGTCTACCCAACAGCTGGGTAATTTCACTGTTATGCACTACGATGTTGGTGCAATGGCTGCAACTATTGATAACTACACTCCCGACTTTGCCTTTTTTGATCCGAATCTCGAGGCCAAAACCAGACCGAACCGCCTCCCGAGTAAAATCAAACCTTCCTACAAATGGTCTCTTGATCTGAGAAACCACCAAACCCCTATAGTTGGACAGAATTTAAACAGGTCTTATCCCAAGTCAATTTCTACATGAAGCAATATCATGCGCGCTACGGTTTTATTATAACCGATCGTGAACTTGTCGCTATCCGGCGGCTCGATAGAAACGGCAATTTGGAGCTCTCAGCATCTATCCCCTGGACTACAAAGGGTACCGCTTCACAGCCGAGACTAACTGCATTACTTGCAATCTGGTATCTGGGGATACTCGCAGCAAATAACCAGGACTGGTATCTCCATTGATTGCATCTTTGGAAGGTAGATGGACTTTCCTAATGTCTTCTCTGATATTATAGCTTTGCTTTCCTGCAATTGATGTTTTATTGATAGTCTGCTGAGTATATGTAGTGCTTGCTATTGTCTGCCCTATAGTTAAATGCAATAGTAACTGTAAGTTTCTTGCTAATAAAGAATATGTTGCTCTATTTATATAGCTGCACCTCCCACTGTTGTCATAGTCATACTAGTGAGTTGTACATACAACCTTTTAGAGGGAACTCTGCGTCCAATTGATAACTGAGATTCTGTAGTTATACTTTCTTTAGATCCAAATTGCCATTTCTATCGAGCCGCCGGATAGCGACAAGTTCACGATCGGTTATAATAAAACCGTAGCGCGTATAATTTTGCTTCATGTAGAAATTGACTTGCGAAACACACGGTCGAGGGCCAACCCCGTGAAGGGTGGCAGGCTGCGCATCCATGTGGTGAGCTGCCTGATCTCTTCAACCGGCAGATCATTCGCAACATTTACACTGAAAGGGCTGTGTAACTCGCAGCAATAGCGGTAGGATCAATGATCTTAGGCCCGTTCAAGGATAGACAAGTGGATGAGACACCAAGAAGACATTCTCGCAGTGAAACGCTATTTGCAGATGACTGTACTGTTGTGCATATAGGTGGGGACATGACAAAGTGGGCGTTGTTGATCCGCTTGACAAACCAGTTATACTCGTAGATTGCAAAAAGTCCGTACCGAGTATAGTGGTCGTCTATATACCTGACAAGCTGATCTATATGTATCGAAACTACAGTGAGCATATAGAATCTAGATAAATGCCAGTACATGGTTACTGACCTAGCTTGTCGAAGATAAACTCATGCCATGTCTGATGCTTCTTGGGAGTAAATGCCCAGTAAGTCTTTACCTCGCCCTATGCTCTGATGGCATGTGTCTTGCCGTCTTCGTAAGGAACAACCTTTCTTTCTCATGTCCCTTTGGTAGGTTAAAGAGGTCGGCTGTCAATTGCTCTGGTGCAACATGATTGTCTTTTAGCAAAAAGCCCGCATATCCAGAGAAATTATACATACTATTAAAGAGTAGTGTCCCTGTTAGCAAGAGATTGAATCCCGCGTATATCCATTGTCAAGGCTCTAATTAGGGACCATCTTTAAGCCTTCATTGATTGCTTGCCTCTCGCTCTCTCAAACTATTTAAGCCTAGAAAGCTATCCTTTGTGGGACTGCTTAGCGGCCGGAAGAACCCACTTTCCGGGCCAATCGGCTACCAGGCGGAATCCCCTGGCCAACATCCACTTCGCGGTAATGGGTAATTGTGCCTCCCTATTGCGCATTGTATATGCCTTATCAAAGACAGCAATCTCGAAAAGCCCGACAAAAGAACCCTTCCATTTTCGAGGCGGCCGAAATGGATTATACGTGATCTTTTCCCTTTCACACCACAGTTTTGCTGCGGATGGCCCATGATGACTAGTCAATGTCTGATATGTGGTCAGTACTATCACCTTTGCCCTGTGGGACTGACTATCAAAAGTCTCGTCGTTATTTGAGAGTTTTCCATCTATTACGCGCGCATTATGTCCGGATGTGGCTCTGTAATCGTACGAGATCCGGCACAAGCTTGCCTTTCACATTGTCTGTCTTCTGCGCTCCGTGCTTCCGCTTTTTCCCTTTCTTGATCTCATCCTGGCGTCTGTTTATACCGTATTGTGGGTCTCCAAAACAGACACCTAACCTCAGCAGGTTGGCGATCTCGCCCACAGGGTGCAGGGCGTTGTTGACAAAACATCCCTGCACCCCTAATTCGTTGGCCACGCCAAAGACCTCTCGACGTATAACAGGCATAAAGGGCTCATACTTGCCACAGTATGGGTCCAGGAGGTCCTTGATTTCCCTTGTAAAGTTTGGCCAGTCCCGAACCTGCGTGGGTTTCAGTGTGAACTGGGATCGACTAGGCTGCAAGGTCCTGAGCCTGCAACAGTAATCAAGTTTGGAATGGGGGGCCAGAGGCATTGGCGATGGGCCATTGGCAGTTTCAACGAGGAGGACATGTTTCCGGACAATTGCTGGCGTCAAGGAGTCCAAGGACAAGGCTTAATTTATCACTTATGCTCAAGGAAACTTTCCAACTTATATAGAATGAGTGGGTGATAGGGTATTTATACAAGCCTCCATTACCAAAAGAATCTGTATCTCTGCTTCCTCAATGTGTGAAAGAGACGATATTCACAGGCACCAGTGCATGCACAGTTATACTCATTCCTACTTCGGACTTCCATATTGAATGTGTTTTAAACCCATTCTTTCTCAGGCGCATTTCCACCCAAAGTTAATGGAAGCTAATCCTAATCCATTGCCGAGAGATGTACGATGAATATAGGGGAGCTTATTATACTCGAGGATGTTCCCCTAATCTCACTAGCACTACGGACCAAATTGTTAGACTGTTCGGCATATCTTTGTATATCCTAAGAGCGGTACACGCCCTTTCTTGGTGCATAGGTATTAAGTTAATTGAAAACTGCATCTTGTGAAACAGTCGGGCTAATTTCACTCTTCACTAAGTAGTTATGAATAGGATTTTGTCTGTTTGGCGTATCTGCAATAAGCAGTTAAGAAGTGAAGGGCATTGGTGAGTAGGATCTTAATTATCAAGCATATCCAGTTTTGACATACAAGGGTTGTCCTTCACGCAGCTGGGTACTTTATTGGTCTAGTTTGAAAGTTGTGAACTATCTTAGGATGTTTAGATCTGACCATTTACTACGCTGTAGCCGAGGTGACACAGTGAGTATCGTACTTTTGAAGGCGGTTAATCCAGATATAGTATCTGATCATAGGTTATCACATAATGGAGGCTTTGTTTCTCTATTGAATTGGGCATTTATTATATATGGGAGAGGAGAGATACAAACGAAGATATCTACTTTGACGATCTTGCAAGATCCCAACAGGCAAGAACTATAGGTCTCCTATCATTTTACCACTTTCAATGACATTTCTAAGCTTTGATTCAATTGACGAGAATAGCTCGGTAATGAATTTATGCCCTTAGTTAAACAACCTCGCTCATGGTACTCGCTGTGTATGATGCTAAATTGTTGTGCCTGTCAAGCCTCCCGACCAGCAAACAAGCGATACTCTGGCCATTTAAAGAAAGGACTCAGGGAGTAGGAGAGCAACAACAGGCAAATGTAACCCTCGATTAGGATCTCCATGGGGGCCGATTTGCCTTCTTCGTAGACTGGCCGGATGGCGGCATTCTTCCCGACTTCGAGCCTTTCTCAGACTTACTGTACGGTGCACGCCAGATGTTGAACGCTTCCACGTACGGGCTCTCCTCATCGATCGGGTACGATGTCTCCGGGTTGGTGAAATCGAGGTCCGCAAGGTCAATCAGATAAAGCTTGTTTGTCCGGGCATCGTAGTTAAGAAAGCTGGGGTGTTGCTGGACCAGTGTATAGCCATTCTTGCGCATCGTCCTGCGAGATGGTCAGCATTCGTTAGCAAGTGAACGTGTACTAGCTGTCTTCTAGTAGAGAGCTATGGACCTACTCTAAGATATACGCGAGCTGAGTTCGGATACTTTCGAGCTGGCGATTGGTAAGCTCGTCTTGGATCTCGTTAACGTTCTCACCGGGAGGGAGCTGCATGACAAAGAAATCGATATAGCCGCCGGGGAAAGGCATCCACTCTTCTTGGTATTGAGTTTCATGGGTACGATACTTTGGACCGAGTCCACGTTCACCTAAGAGTATTGCAGCCTCAACCTCGTGGCAGTACCGTTCCTCGGCGATCTCCTTAACCTCGCGTGGATCTTCGAAATCAAAATCTTTCGGGTTCAGTTCGTAACGTATTTTGAGCAAAGACTGTATTTTATTGTCGATGTTTTTGACCTTTGCTAAAACATGGCGTTGGCCCAATCTTCAATCCAGGACCTCGGTGAGTTGCTCCTCAATCTGGAGCTTGCGCCCCTCGATATCAAAGACTCGTCCTTCCAAGCTGTAATCCCACATGATTGGGTTATTGTATGACTTTGTGTTTGACTGGAAAGTAAGGTGCTTGTTATGACTTCCGATAGAACATGAAGTTGTGAGGGTTGAAGTTTTTTCTTGACAGGGGAAAAAGTGGATATGCGTCACCAGCCGAGTAAAATGAAGCCATCATTCACTATGACACTGAAATCATGTCACTACAAGTACGTCATCTGAAATGATTCACACTTATATGAATTCACTTTGAGAAAGCCAGAGTATTACGCATCCAAATTTCCCATTCCGCAGCTCCCGTTTGAGCTAGATGCAGTCCAGAGTCAATCGCAGATTGAGCAGCAGAAGGTCTCCATTATATGAGATAAATGGAGAGGGCCCTTTACTATACGCAAAGAGCCTCAGATACTGATGAAGCCATAGGTGCATAAACAAACGCAAGTTACTTCCCTGAATCTATTTCCCAGTCTCGCACAGCGGTCCAAACCACGCACCTCCCGTCACCTCTTCCCAGCCCTCGTTTCCGACGCATCGCCAGCACCAAAACACGTTTTCCGGGTCATACTTCTTCTTGACCGATGCGAGCCAGTCGTACTTGTCTCCAAACCAGTCCTGTCTCCAGTCCGGGTCGTACGGATCTGCTTCGTTTACATAGGTTCCCATGTCCGGAGCCATGTCCTTCATCGCTTTCAGCTTTCTGTTGGTGAGCTGGTTTCTAAACCGTTGGATCTCCTCGGTGCCGGAATTCTCAGGCCAGACCTCGATTTGCTGGAATAGGAGATGGGCTCTCCGCCACGCAGGGTTCATAGAGGTATGAGGTACAGGTTCAAGAACTTTACCGCCGGCGATAATGTTAAACAGAGTTGCCCAAAGGGTGCTGTTGGGCACGGTGTCAGTGGTGACGGTCTCGAGCAGGCTTGTTAGATTGTTCTTTGGAGACTCCAGTGTTTGCTTGTCAAAGAACCGCGACGCCATGATCGGTCTATTCGAACCGGGGGTTGTGTGGTGGGTGCTGGAGTAGTATGCATGGAACGAAGGGTAGCTGGTGAAGGTGGATAACACCAGATATGAGGTTCCGTTGTGTGGGAGCAGGTCATCTAGGATGAGCCGGTTCATGGCGTCTTTGGCACTTTCTACAGCCTGGGTGGAATTGTTCTCAAGTAGGTTCAGGAAAGGATGTGTATATACCAATGGTCCAGGTAAAGGCGTGAGGATTGCAGTACCGGAATACCCTGCATCTGAGAGAGCTGCTAATTTCGACATGATTCTGCCCGTCGCGTTGAGAACCGCAGCGTTGTTTCCATTCAGTGCAATGACGTCTAAATTGTGGCCCAGTACAGGACGCGTTGGGTGGGCTTTGATCGTGGCCGATAGGACCACGCCGTAGGTGCCTCCGCCTCCGCCACGGAGAGCAGTGAACAGGTCTGTATATTGGCATGCATTGGCAGTGACAAGCTCCCCCGATGCCAGTACAACTTTGTATTCCAGAACCTGGTCTGCTGCGAGTCCGAAGAAGTGGCTTGCGGGGCCATGACCGGCTCCCTGCATGAAGCCTCCAATAGCACCGACAGTCTGGACTATAATTAGTTTGCTGGGATAATTTCTGGCTTGAGAAAATGATGAGCTTACCGGATCTGCTCCACCAACAGCGATGACACCGTGCTCGCCGGCAAAGTCGTATACGTCCTGCCACACGTATCCACCGCCTACGGTAATTGCACTTCCAGTCCAGTTGGATGGGCATGATCCATTGGAAGGAACGAACGTTTTGTGAAAATGGAGTCCATCTTTTATTGACTTGATCCAAATGGATAGACTGCCGTATCCTTGCGATCTGGTATCGTCAGTATTCATACCGTCGTAAAACTCTGACTTAGCCCTTACCGCTGCGATATATCATGTCCAGTATTCTTGATAACCAATCTCACATTGTTATCGTTTGCAAACTTAATCCCAGCAGCAACATCAGCCGCTGTAGTCGCCTTGATGGTGTACACGGGATAGTTGCCCAGGTCGCACTGTGGGTAGCCAGCCACCGTGGCATTGATAGGGGGACAGCTTTCCACGAGTGGATAGCTATATCCAATCGGGAAAGTTGCCTGGTAGACATTGCTTGTCCAGTTGGAACTGATACTCTGACAGCGCTCGGAGCTGTAGCCTGGGCCGTGGTAGCAGGGCCTGGCAATGGGTTCATTGCGTGCAAGTTTTCCGTTCACCGAGCTGTTAAGGGTGTTCCATGTGTCCACAGAGGGCCAGCAATCGTCGGTAGGGGTCTTTATTCTCAAAGGTTAGATATGGAGCTCTCAACCAAAGACATGAATCGTCGATAACATACACATTTGCACTTGGCAAAAACAGACTGCGCTCCAGCCAGTAGCAAGAGACTTTTAAGAAGCATCTTGGTGTCAAATTGTCTTGAAATAGTATTGATGAATCATTTCAAGCATGTAGCCTCCGGAATATTAACAAGTCTTTATATTTGTCTCTCTGCTCGTCACCTCGTAAGTGACGCCGTAAGCAGCGCAATATATTGCGCCTACAGCCGCCCTGACACACAACGGAAATTATTGCGCTACACCTTAAATTCCCGCATTAGTATTATTATTTGGGCGCCTGCATGGTTAAAATTTGCAGCATCGGGCTGAGTCTTGGGGTGCTGTATCAACAGGTACCAGATTCTGCGCCCTGTTAAACCTGTGATACTATGGGGCTTACGCCTAGGAAGTAATCGGACGTTGGAAAGCCGAGATCCAGGCCCTGCCTTGAACTCGCGGTGTATTAGGCTCGGTATGGATAATAAACTTGATTAAGAATGGTAGTAAAGTCTTAGATCTAATTTAAGACTTGGATATCTAGGGTGCTTGGTCCCTATCCTCACGTCCATGGCGCCTACTTTTCGCGGAGGTGACCTAACAGGGGGTCACTATAGTGTAATATTTCTCCTCACAGGTATCTCACAAGGCTTAAAGAACTTAGTAAATCTAGAGATTAGTGTGACCGGTTCGTCCTTTCGGAATTCGAACCAACTGGGTGCTTATGTACACTCAGCAGCTTCCCTTGGCCACTATCAATCAGCGTTGCAGACAAGGCTGGTCTATCTATACTTAGAATAGAGTCAGGGCCCACAATACGCCCGAAAGTTTGATATGATTAGCCGCGTCGGAAGCGTCCCTAGCACCAATAACCAGAGTTTGCCCAGCTGGTGCAGATCAGTCAGATCAGTCAGACAAGGGGCGCTTTTCAGAACGTCAACCGGTAGCCCCTCCACGATCTCCAATCCTTTCTACCCTATACATCTTCTGCGAGACACGATATTGATAAATGCAAGAGCAAAAGACCGAACGAGGCCCGAGAGGCAGATATGCTCGTTTAATCTGTCGCGGCTGCAGAGCGCGCAAAATTAAATGCGTGCTGCCTTCGCCCGCGGACTTGGGTCCACTGGGGACTCCACAGCCCGAAGCGACAAGCTGTGAACGATGTCGCACTCTCGATCTAGAATGCATTATCGAGCGCAACTTTCTAGGACGTCCGCCAGCAAAATGCGGAAAACGCGCAAATATTACTAGCAAATCGCCTCCGTCGGACCCGCCCAATTCCCCGCATGAGGAGAAGGCATCTAGCCTCTCGGACTCGATCCGGCAGTATCTCTTCTCGGGCGCGATAGACGACAACCTCATGCTGCAAAGATCGCGAGATGCCACCAATACCTCATCCGTTGACGATGATCTTTACCATTCTATGGCCAACACTAGCACTTTCATCGCGGGGGTATTGGCCAAGGACGCTTCTTTTGGCGCAGACATTCAGTTGACGTCAACGTGGAGCACTCCTCTGACAGATATAGTGAGCCATGATCTCGCTATCACCCTTGACAATTTGTAGAATCTGCTCAGAAATCGCCTGATCTTGTCAGCTGGCTAACTCCGTTGGTAGATTAGTATGGCAGCGTCTCTTTGTTCTGGGGATGCCTAGCCTGGTCCATTTGAGAGAGCGCTTGTTGTCAACCGACCCCAAGACCAATAATGTCGCCACCAAACTGCTCTTCGCAGTGTTCTGTCTGACTGCTTGTGAAGGCTCAGAGGAGGTTCGCCGTCGGAATGCGTCTCTCAAAGAAAGTCTACAGCAGGCTGTCTCGTCCCACGGCCAGGAGTTCATCTTCAGTCCTCCCACGCATATCGACTCCATTATTCTTTGTCGGTTTTTATCGACATTCAAGCCAACGGCTTTAGCCACATCCAAAAGGGTGGCACCTCAATCCGTTAAAGCCGAGCTGTATATTACCCTTGCATACCGGATCGCAGAGCGGCTAAGATTATTACCCGAGCCAGGGATCATGCCATTCATGGAGACAATGACCATTGACAGTGTCGAGATGGAGCGTGAGCTTATCCTGTCTATTCAGGGACTTCAGCTGATTGCCGAGGAATTCCTTCTTGGGGACTTTCTGACAATGACCCTGCATGCCTACCGGCAGGTCCTCCAACGGATGCAGCCGCATATCGACTCCTATCAGGTGCTATTGCAAACAAGACCCTGTTCACCAATCATGATCTTCCATATCAAATGGACCACAGCAACCTATATGCAGATCGAGGCGATGGCAAACTCGAGGCAATGCTGGATGAATCCCAATCGGCTATTTATCGTTGTTGAAGAGGGCGAAAAGAAATGCTTCGCGGAAATCAACTCTGCGTATGAGTTGTTGTCAGAGGCAGCTGGAGCTGGAAAGCAGAATGAGCTCATGGCCATGTGCTCACTGCTAGAGCTGCGTTTCCATGGAGTGATTGCCAGGATGCTTGGCCTCGGGTTATTCTTTACATCAGTCCTTCAAGCAAGGGCACAGAAGGATCAACCGCAGAATAACACGGAAATTCTCCGGGAGGAAGCTACCCAGATGGGTACTACCGTCATTAACTCCTTGATGACAACCCCTGACTCTGAAAGGGCCTCGCATTTCTTCAATTTCCTGCGCCATTTTGGGGGACGGTATCCAGACAAGCTGCAAGGGATTCTGGCCAAATTTATGGAGTGCACGACAATAAAGCTGGGTGGCAACAACTACATTGCGCCAGTCCGTCCAATAGTAATGGAGATTGTGAACCAATGCAAGAATATCGTCGAAAATAACCTGATTCGATTCAAGGCTTCAGGAAGACTGCATTCCAGCTTTGACAAACAACTCGACCTTTTCACACAATGTGCCCATCAGCTAGCAGCCATGGTGGCCCAAGGAAACTCGCCAGAGGCTGCCTTTAGTAGTGGCTGTGTGTATGCCGCAAGCAGTAAGATGGTCTACGGGCTGTGCGATTTGATGAAAAGTTTGAAGCTGCAGGCTTCTCTAGTCAAGGACTGGGACGACGCCATGGGTGTGGTAAATCTACCCGCAACTACGACCGAGCCCCCTGCCATGCCAACCATGCAGTTCAGTTCCTTCGAGGCATGGAACCTGTGGCCGTATCCTGATACAATGGACCGTATTCCTCAACCGCAGAATATGTTTGACTGGAGTCTACCGCTATCTACAACCGAGTTTCCGAATACGACAACTGGTTTTCCTAACACTGTTGATTTCCCGGGCACGACTACTGGGCTCGATGACAGTCTGCTATCGTTTACACAATAAACCCCGAGGAACGCAGTAAATACTAGCATGGCAGGTTGGGTTTCGTATATTCAATAGAGTTAGGGATAGAGCTCTGTCTTCTCAAATTACGATTGATGAGTTGCGACTTTATAGAATATTTTGTATGATAATACAATTACTTCATCCTGAAGGTCATCATAGTGTATCATTCCATAGATGTGCAGATTATTAGGGTAGTATGGGCGTGTCTACCTCCGGTGTGTATATAATTTTTCGATACTTAACTTTACGAGCAAATAAATCTATTTTTAAATTCACGATTAATTGAATAATTTCACTCTCTAAACTAAGCGCAAGTTACAGTGTATAGACCGCGCAAATTATACACCGCGCAATTATTTTTCTACTCCTGGACAGACAGCGCAATTTCGCGCAAATTAAGCATACTGGCTCCACCGATCGTCTCTACCAATCGCTTGGCGTGTGGACTCCACGAAGGGTAATTAGTCTGCACAACGCCGATCAAAGGCTTATTTGCGCTCCCAAATGCGCGTGGCGGAGTCATCGCGACGATCTCGCCAGGCTTCCTATCCAGCGGTGTTGGAAGTTAAGCAATGTGAGGCTGTTAGGGCTGAGCTGGGCTTTGGCCCCAACCTGACAAGGGAATTCACAAGGCTACCTACTTTCATATTGCAGAATGTCAAAATTTGGGTGAGGATTTGAATTATGGCGGTAGATATAAGATAGGTCGGCACTGCGGTCATTTGCTATATTCCATTTCATCTAAAAAAATTGTTTATTCAGCGTCGTCAGTTCAGCTTTTGATTACTATACAACATGGGTCTTCTCAGTCCAAGAGCAGGCAGCTTTGGCTGTGCTATACCTGACCATCTTGAACAAAGTGAGTGATAGCTACATGCTCTCCGATAAATAACGGACTTACGGACAAGTCAACAGGCGGCGGTGGCCCCTTCGTGGGAAAGCTCACATTCTACCAATTCAACATGATCGTATCTGGTTGCTGCACTGCGATCGTATTAGTCTTAATCTTGGGCTTGATGGGACGACATGCGATGCGCATGAGCAATCCGAACGAACAAGTCAAGTAAAGAACCTCGACCACGTGGAAAGGCCTCTGCGATGCTAATATAATTTGCCGACAGAATAATGCGCATTTGCAACCTCATCCCCTCCTACCAAGTCCTGTCCTTCATCTCAATCTGCTTTCCAAATTCCTACATCTACCTCCAAGGTTTCACCGAGGTGCTCCAGGGTGTCGCTCTATATGCCTTCCTCATGCTACTCTGCGACTTCATGGCTCCCGATGATAAGAGTAAAGTGGAGTTCTTTTCTTCACTGGAGACGAAAAGACAGTGGCAGCCGAAGAAGAAAAGGAATGGTCTTGCGTTCTTGAGTGTGGGTCTTTCGGCAACTGAAAAAAGGACTGAAGGAATACTGACCTGTAAAGTTGACTTGGTACTCCGTGCTGCAATACCCAGTCATCACCTGGATTGCCGCTGTCTCTCAAGTGGTGACCCAGTCACTACACGTTTACTGCCTCGATAGTACAGCGCCTCATTTCGCTCGTGTTTGGGTATGTACTATCTTGCCATAATTGCGTTGTATCCTCGAATTGTAGCTAATAAAAAATGATTAGCTGCAAGTGATCACCTCACTATCGACATCCATAGCCATCAACGCCATCCTCCAATTCTATATGAACATGAAGGGATACATGACTGAGCACAGGCCACTCCTCAAGCTGATGGCATTCAAGCTGACTGTCGGACTAGTTCTCCTGGAGAAGGTAGGCCAGACATTTACCCCAAGACAAGAGACCCTGGAGAAAAAAGATATCTAACAGCAACTCAGATCCTTTTTCTCATCCTTACAGGAACAAAAGTCCTCAAGCCCACCGCCTCGATGACCTACATCGACGTGATGATGGGCCTCCCGACAATGGTAATCTGCGCACAGATGGTGCCGCTCTCTTTCCTTGTCCTCTATGCCTACCGCACAAAACCCTACGAAATCTCGACCTCGGTGCGCGCCCTCCAACCTCAAGAATATCAGGCCATCGAGTCTGATGGCCACGCGGAGACCTTGTTGAGTGGCCCCCGGAAACGCTACCACGGTGGGCCCTGGGGATTGTATGCCTGGACTGTCTATTTGAATCCGCTGGAGCTGCTACGGGATGTCAGGTCGGCTCATGTTATGATTCACAGTGCGCGGTCCATGCAGAAGGTTCGTGCGAAGGAACAGGCGCAGGAGGGGGAGATGGCGGGATATGAGACGAGGTATGATAGTGGCGAGGGGGCAATGAGGACTTTGGCTTGACGAGGTAAGTTCAGAGAAACCAATATTTATTGTAGGGGATGTGATTAGGGAAGGTTGAAAGCATGTTTGTTAGCTTATTGCCATTATTGTCCTTTATTGTGGAGTAGATAAGCTGCTAGTTCGTCTCCGTGTTCTTGTATGTGTTTTGTGTTAGTCCAAGCTCTACTATCCTGCATCCTTACTAGCTACTTATGAACTTGTAGGTGTAATGGAGATGTCGACCGGTCGAGAAACTTCCCAAAACACTGCTTTTATCCATGTTAAAACCATACATCCCTTGCGTCCCACAATACCTCAAACTATTAAACAGTGGCTTCGATAACAATTCATATATCGCGAATACGTCTGTAAAGTGAACGGAGCCTAACCATGATAGTCCAGTAGTATTGTCAGGGATATTTTACGTTAGCTACCATTGGCCCTGGGAACGATCCCTGAACCGTGGTCCATAGATGTATCCAGATGCATCTGGATGTGATGAAGATGGCGGGAAAAAGGTTAAACCCACGCGCAAATGGAAGACGTAATAAAGATGAGTGAACACGATTAGTGATAGAAAATTAGGGATTTTATTGGATTAGTGATACTAGTGATATTAGTCAGCGATTCATCAGCGCCAGCGACAATGACGATGTTTTCAACGACGTGACATTTTCCTTCTCGGTGATATATTAATCGCTACATTCGTGTTTCTGACGGTTGACTGTTATATCTCTTATTAGCATCGCTAGCACGGCATATTGTCCTGATAACACCGTACAAGATGCCCGTCCCCGACACTTTCCTCGCGGCTACGGTCAACGAGCCACACGCCCAACATGTCATTTCCAACCGCTCATTGCAACCACTGGAATCGGGCGAAGTAGCGATCAAAATCACCGCCACAGCCATCAACCCGGTCGACTGGAAGATCCGTGACTACAATGTCTTTATCAAAGAGTACCCAGCCGTGTTAGGATCCGATGCCGCGGGAGAGATTGTTGCCGTCGGAGCCGATGTTTCCAATTTCGCCGTTGGCGATCGGGTATTCTTCCAGGGGATCATTGGCAGATATGACTCGTCGACCTTCCAACAATACTGCAAGATGCCGGCCAGCCTGGTCTCCAAAACGCCCAGCAGCATCAGCGACGACCAAGCGGCGGGCATCAGTCTCGCGACCGTGGCGGTTGTCACGGCATTCTACGACCAGTCGGGCCACGGGTTGACCCCACCGTGGGACGCGAATGGCCCACAGGTCGGAAAGGGAAAAGCCATAGTCATCATCGGAGGCGCCTCGTCCGTGGGCCAATATGCCATTCAACTCGCCAGGCTGTCGGGCTTTGAAAGGATCGTGACCAACGCCAGCCCGCAAAACCACGAGTGCCTCAAGAAGTTAGGCGCACATGTGGTGCTGGACCGGGTCCATTCGAGGCCCGAGGATTTCAAGGCGGCCATCGGCGGATTGCCTTTGGAATTCGTGTTCGATGCTATCTCGGTGAAAGCGACGCAGGCATTGGGTGTTGAGATTGTCCAGCTACAGAAGGCGCCGATAAGATCGTGACGGTGCAGGGTGCCGACTCTGATGCTATTGCCCTTGGCCAGTCCAAGGAGCCAAAGGTTGCAGTTAAGCAGGTCTTGGGATTGGGTAGCAACCCAGCGTTGCGTTATCTTAGTGAACCTTTGGCGAAACATCTCGGTGGTGAAGATGGCTATATCGCTAAGAAGCTTTTTGTCCCCAACCGAGTGCATCTGGTTCAAGGGGGACTGAATGCCGTGGAACAGGCTCTTGCGAAGAATAAGGAGGGTGTCTCTGGTGAGAAGGTTGTATTCCGCCCTAATGAAGGGGCAAACTAAGCATGAAAGTACATACTTGCATTATTTGTATTAAGCGGATTCAATAGTTTTCTTCTGTACTTTCTTCAACTTTTATTATTATGGACCTTCGCTGCTCTCGTTCGTAAGAGGTTGTTGTAAAGCTTGAGTCACTTCGCTAAAGCATATATTTGCACGTCATCGTAAGTTTCCTAGCCAGCTACTCTGATTTTATCTGCTATAAAGCCAAGAAAATAAGAGTTGGACGTATAACATCAGGCATTTCTCCTATCTCCATGCTTTGCCATAAAACAGACTATTTTATCTGTCTTAAGCTCAAAGACTAAAGTACGCGACTACATATAGAAAAGAGATCGATCTGTAACTTATAATAAGAAGGAAAAGGAGAGAAAATCACTGATATCAAGTTCTGGAGGTATGAACCCTGTTTGTGTTGTGCTCTCTATACCCCTATCTCATAGTAGAAAGAGAGTAGCCAACACAGGGTTCTAATTGGTGGCTGGGGCAATAAGCCCTAATAACGCCGTCTGCAGCCAAGTCGCGCTCATCACTTTATTCCGCTGATCCATGGACTATCTTTGTCTCTCCCTGCATTGTTGATTTAATGCAAATGACAATGACTCAGAGGTATCGATTTTACTCGATGAATGAGACAATGGCACTCTCTACTTATGTCAATAGTGCTCCCAATCTGCGTCTATAAATACTCGAGTGTTAATCGGATGTTCATTGACCCTCAGAAAATCGAGCAAAATGACAGCCGACGAAGAATCGCCTTTTTTGCAATCAACTACGATTCCAGGAAGTCCTGAGTCCGACCTTGAACTAAGACGAAAGTCTGAACGCGCCAATAAATTCGTCATCTATGGTTCTTTTATTGGTGAGTGTGCTGCAAATGAGACGATAACATCGTATTCTGACCATTTTAGGCGTGTTCCTTGCGTCCGCCGATGAGTCACTTGTCATCTCAACATGGAGCTCCATTGCTTCGCAATTCAACCGTCTATCGGAAGGGTCGTGGCTCCTGGTTGCGTATAATTTTGGCTATTGCGTCTCATTACCGGTGGTAAGTCATTCGTAAACTATCCACTCTATGATACTTACGCAGCTCTGCTAGTATGGTACACTCAGTGACACGTACGGACGGAAGAATGTCCTCCTCTGGGCGTATTTTCTGTTTGCGTTGGGATGTATGGCATGGCAAGTTATCTAGATTCTATCAGACATTTACCGCGCTGACTTAAAATACAATGCAGTGGCGCCAGTGGCTCCTTGATCCAGCTCATTCTGGCCAGAGTACTGGCTGGTATTAGTGGAGGTGGCATGGTTGCCCTAGTTTCCATTATCATAACCGGTATCTTCATCTCCGACCCACAGAATCACAACTAACACCTGCTAGATCTGATGCCCCCCAACGAGGTGGCACTGTTCCGAGGATATGCCAGCGTGGTTAATATTGCTGGTCGCAGCCTGGGCGCCCCGGTTGGGGGCTTTCTGATCACGACACTGGGATGGAGATTGTTAGTCCTTGTGAAGCCGCTCAAGTGTAATGTTATAATGCTGACTAGGTCCAGGTCCTTTCTAGGCCAACTCCCTCTCATGATTGTTTGTATGATGGTGGCATACCACGGTCTTCCCTCGTCGTTGAACCAAAGTAACACAAACCACTACCGGGATATTCCTCCATTCCCAGCATCTCACATCGATTATGGCGGCATTATCAGCATTGCCACGGCGATTGTCATGCTACTTCTTTTGATCCAAACCTCGAACACGACAGATGATCAGCCAATGCTGCCCTTATTAGCGTCTGCGTTTGCAGTCGCCGTCGCAGTCTTCCTCTTGACGGAAGCATACTGGGCCAGAAATCCTTTGATACCATTGACCTTAGTGAAAGGTTCTTTGGGAGGGTACTTCGTGGGACAATTGATGTTACTAACAGGCCGCTCGGCGGTAGGTTCGATGTGCAGACAACCTTATTTCACTGCTGACATGTCACTCGAACACAGCTTAGCAGTAACATGGTGCCATACTTTATCCGAGTCGAAAAAGCGACTGATATCCTCGCATCCTTCACCTACGTCGTCACCGCAGTGGGTGTCTCAGTCGGCGGCTTGATCGCAGGCGCCATCATCAAACGGTGAGTCTATAGACCAAGATATCTGGTGCACGATGCTGATTAAGTGGAAGGGCCAAGCGATATAAGACAATGAGTGTAATAGCAGTGGGATCAGCTGCCTTGCTATCTATTCTAATTTACATCCGCTACCGCGATGGCTGCTACACCTGGGAACTAGTCTATCTCTTCCCGTCGGGCGTTTCAAATGGCATACTCTTCTCCACGCAATTCATCGGGATGTCGTTGACTGCGCCTAAGGAGCGGCTGGCGACTTCGATCGGGATCTATTACCTCCCTCAACAGTTGGGGTTCATTATCGGTCCGGCGGCTTCGGTCGCTGTTGTTCAACGGCGCTTTGCCAATAGCCTTACAGAACGTCTGGAGGGGTTTAAAGAGAGACACGTACGTTTGATGAAGGGAGACTGAGAGGTAGAGCTAAATGCCCTTTCCAGCTTATTGGTCAGATACTCAATGATCTGAGATTCTTCGAGAGCTTACCGGATGGAGTCCAAAGTGTCGTCCGGTCGAGCTATCTGTATGGGTTTCAGTTTGTACCATGTAAGTTCAGTCTAAGCTTAGACATAACCGGAGATAGCAAGAGCTGACAGGTATAGTACTTGGCACGGTGTCTATTTTGTTCATGTTGCCAATCGTGCTACTACTGAAGGAAAGAAGAATCGAATGAGATTTGTAACCACGCAAACTATAGTTGACTGGGAAGAGCCATGTGTGATTCATCCACGAGAAGTTGCACATGTGATGCAACATGTAGCAAGGGTTTCCAAAAGAATCGGCCCAACGCTGGTGAAATGTGGGCTTAGAGCCAGTCTACACTGGGATAGAAAGGAGATAGGCTAGATAGTTAACCAAGAATTATGCTTTCCTGCACCACGCCCTTAGAAACCCTTAATTGATTATTAGGGTAAGGCTTACCCCGTGGCACGTCTCACCAATGTGACACATCCTAGGCTCCAAAATAAATCCTGTGCAACAATCCCAGTTTTGGCCCAGACTGACAAACTCGTTCACTTCTAATCCCCCTCACCTTTGACACAAGACCAAGCCCAAATAAAACAACACTGGACGAGCAAATCCAACGTCAAAAGCCTGCAAAGCGAGTAAATCAAAACAAAAAAGATCCCCCACAACCCTAGTAGCCAGCTGCTCTACAAAGAATCGGCTCGGTACTCACACACATACACACTCGCCCAATAGAACCACAACATCTACGTGACGCTGCGCATTTAGTTCAATACAAGTTCTCACGTCACAGCCTAACGTGAAACCCACAACATCTATGCCAAGTCGTCAAGCCAGTCGAAGATCGCGGCACCGGACGAGACGTGCTCCAATAATGCGGCGGGGTAGGTGTCGGTGTTGGATACGGATCTGGAGATGGCACGGCCGCCTACGGTGCGAATATTTGGGGTCAGGGTGCGGTGTGCTTGATTCGGAGTTCTGGGGTTTGGCTGTTGGTCTAGGAATGGGTGGTCAGTATGTAGGAAGAGGTATCTCGCAGGGGCCTAGCTACGAAAGCTCGTGTGGATGATGTGAAGGTGATGGCAGGATCATCTGCTCAAAAACTTTGCACGCATGGTTAAACCGCAAGAGAATCTGTTCAGTTCCTATAGTATACTGCAGCCTCGATTTAATTTCTAGTCAACGCTTCTCCAACTCTTCCATTGTCTTCAAATGCTCTCCCCCGTGAACCCTCTGTTCCACCAAGCATTCACCCGCCAGCGATCCGTTGTCCCCTTTCTCACCTGGCAACATCGCGGCACGGCCAGGACCTTCTTCCGAATATACTCAACCAGGCCGACAGCGAACAAAAGGCCCGTACTTGCATCTGCACCGTTATCATCCTCAATCTCAATGATGTTAATCTGTAGCACCTCGGGGTTGGGCTCATCAAGGGGGACAAGATGATCAAACGTGACCCCATAGTAGTCAATCACGCTTACCCAGGTTAATGGAAGTGATTTGTTAGCTATGGAGATCTTGATAAGAGATTACTGCGTAAGATTCAGCCAGACCTTGCCGATCCGGGTACTTCTCTGGCACCCATCCCAAATACTCATCCCTCATCATCAGATCGCCCGCAACTTCGAGACATGTATCCCGTTCGTATATCTGTTGGTACGTCAACCGGGCTAGCTCTGGGCCTGCTGGTTGTGGGAATGTTCGGTTGAGAAGACTTAGGTGCCACGGGATATCCGGCAGAATCCTCTGGATGGCGACCAGGGGTCCTTCAATTTGGATTCTCAGTGGCTGATCATGCGGTGGAAGGTGATGTTTGCTGGTGGGATTGTGAATGCAAGGTGGGATGTAGAGTGGGACCGCCATTAGAGTCACTTGATTACTTCAGTTGGAGTTGATTGAGGAGCTGTGGTAAGTAGAACAAATTGCTCGTGTGAAGAGAAATACCAGATCACGTTTGGATAGTGTGCTTATATGTCGATGGAAGAAAGTTGCAAGACGCCTAGACTGTAATATTTATATTCCCCTTATCACTAACTGGTCTCCCTTATCACATGACGTATGAATGAATGGATGGGTGCTGGCGGAGTCAACTAGCCATTCAGCTCGCACTCTTTATCACATATTGTGGAACTCACCATGGTTTATTCCACATTGTTCTGTCACCTGCGGGACAGATCCGCGCTTAGTGAATTTCTGGCTGGGTAGCCTAATTTTACCTATGAGGTACCGTGCTCAATACTCAGTTTGGCAGAGGTCTGTTAAGTAGAGACGTTAGCCAGATACCATACTGAGGAATTTAAATCCATTTCAGAACAGGAATAGGGCAATAGTCCTTCTGATGGTGGTTTACTGTGGGCGAAACTGGTAGGAGTGTATTGATATGCTTGAAGATCTCAGCTCGCTGTTGCTGAAGGAACAGGTCGCCCGCTGGATTCAATCACATGGAGAGAAGAGCACATATATTCCAGTTGTTATGGATGCAGATTGATCTACATACAAGCTCCTATTTCATACTTAGGCTCTAACTGATATCTCAATGCTTCGGTAGTTTGAATCCTCCAGGTACAATCGTCTGAAACATCCTTCTCGGATCGACTTCCTCACTCACGCGTTTTAGAAGCTCAACGTTCTTGCTCTTATAGCTGGAGATTGGATCCTGCCATTGTGCCGCATAGTTGAGGTATACGAAAGGCTCGTAGAGACCCAACTTGCGCGCGTCATTATCGATGTTATCGAAAAGCTCACGAGCAGCTTTCTCCACTTTCTCATCGTCCGACTCATTGTCCCAAGTTGCGCTGAGCAGCGTCACCACCAGCGGACCAGACACATCATCCAGACCCAGTGCATTCTTAGACGCATTGCGGGCATAGATAGCCTGCGGCAAAGGCTCCAGAGAAATCGCCCACACCATACCAGGAATAGCATCAACATCGGCAAGACTAGCATCCCAACGCTGATAAACCGCCTCCAACATGGGCAGAGTCGAACCATGAGTGGTAACCACAGTCATCTGCCTTGAAACATCGTCAGCGCAAACCTGCCACGCAAGAAGCATCCCCATACTCACCGCTTCCCAACCTTCGAGAACGACCCCTGCTCCGTCACAATCTCATGCATACCCGCAATCCTGACCGTACCAAACAGCTTGGGGATTTCCATGAACCGACGAAAAACCGCCGGATTCTCCTCCGCCTTCGTATACACAATACTATTCACTATAGCCTTGCCCTGTGCCGAATACCCGAAGCTGGTGATCAGCGACGCAAACTCATCGTACCCCTCCGCTGCGTTCACATCCGCAAACGCCTCGAGATTCTGCTGATAGGTATCGATAGAATTGTAAACGCTTCCTCCCCAGATCGGGCCCTGTTCGAACGCCTTCAGGTCTATGCGCGTGACAACCCCGAAATTACTCGATCCGCCACGCAGCGCAATCAGCAGGTCCGGGTTCTCGTGCTCGTTGGCATTGACGATCGTGCCGTTGGCGAGGACAACTTCGAAGTTAGTCACGGTGTCGCAGGTCCAGCCGTATCGCGGGGAGAAATACGAGATCCCACCGCCGGTCGTGAGGCCACCCACCCCCACCTGTGCTGCGCGTCCGCCTGCGACGGAGAGGCCTAATGGGTCGAGGTGGGAGTAGACTTCGCCCCAGGTTGCGCCGACACCGATGGAGGCGGTCGTGCGGTCGGAGCTCACGGTTATGCTGTCCAGGCCGCGGAGGTCGAGGGTGATTCCGTTTGCGATGTTAGACGCGCCGGTGAAGGGAGCGTGGCCGCCGGAGCGGATGGCGAAGTTGGTGGTTTCGAGGGTGGAGGTTATTGTGTTGATGGCGGTGGCGACATCCTCTGCTGTTGTTGGGGACACAATGCAAAGTGGGTGCAGGTTGCAGTTTTGTTGGGAGAAATAGGTGCTGATGGAGTCGTTGTAGGGCTGCGTGTTTGGGAAGGAGACTTTGCTGCCCAGGACAGAGGCTAGGGCTAGACACTGCTTTGGTTAGGTTGCAGTATTGGTATACGTTGAATGGAGCTTACACAATTTCCTATATTTCCGTTGGTGGTGTTCCCGGCGGAGGGTAGCTGTTCCATGACTAGATATTGTGTGCGTGATGTTGAGAGGAAAATAGGTAGAGAGGATGGGGGAAGAGAGGAGAAGCGATCAGTTGTATATATCTTGCGAGATAGCTAGAAGTAGACTTTAGCTAGGTGACTTAGGGCTTACATCTCCACACGATCTGACCAGTCAGAGTAGGCATTGGCGGCTTACTGCAGGAGCCTGCGGTTAGGCTGTACGGATGGGCAAGCTCGAGTTTGGTGGACTCACCTGTCGACGGCTTGTCATCCTTCATCCCGTGACGATATAACTTGTCACTTGGCAACAAAGATAGGTATCTAAACAGGCGAGGTGGTTTAGATGACGGATTCTCCTCGCTGTTGCTGATCCGGCTTGCTATAGTAACCGCCAACGCCTAGTTTTTAATCTGCCGTGGCAGGAGATTTACTATTCATACTAAGGCATTTTTATTAATGTGGGCAACGGTCTTTATTCCGCTTCTCATATATTTTAGCTTTCTAAGCCACATTCAAGGCGGTCGTGGAGGACCCTGCGTACTGCGATATAGGCTTTTTGATAGGCTCTGGGGAATATGAATACAGTGGCTTATTCTTGAATGCTCATTTCTGCTTCAGCCTCTCAATTTCTCTAGGAGCATTGGTGGACCCGCACTTGCAGAATTCATCAGGAGGTAATTCGGATCATTTGTTCCATTGTATTTCTCTACAATCACATCGATCCTGAGTATTCTATCCTGTGCAAACCTTCATACTTCATGGTCTTATTTCGCATGTAAATAGAAAGCGGAATGACCGCCGATAATGAAGGCGCTATTACATACACAAATAGGGATTTTACCCACAATGCTTTCAGATGGATGATTCATGATATACTGGAGAGATGTATATGCATAGCCCGACTTCCTCCGACAACCTGCAGCCGACCGTACCGCACCAAGGGCTGTCGGTATTGAAGTCTAACCGACTCCATAGGTCAAGAATGTCTAAGACTTTCGATGATAGCATTTGCGCTTTTGATTGCAAAGCACATGGCGGTCAATATCGGATTGGCAGGGGTCGCTCCAGGGATGACATTTGGACCCCCAAGGTAAAGGTTGTCCAATCCCCAGACTTTGCAGGACTCGTCACAGCACGAATCCTCAGGTACTTCTCCCGTTTTAGTGCTCTCGGTGGATTTCCCTGCTCGAGTAGTTCCGCAGGCGTAGAGAGCCGGCTCAGGCGGAAGGAATCGTGGTTCAGCACTTGGTAGATATGCTCCAAGCTTGCCCGCCACTTCTATCATGTCCTCCATCATCTGATGTGAAATACTTCTGTCGTTCTCCGAAGTCTCCAATTGGTGAAAGATAGGGTATGGCATACCGTACATATCTGTCAAATCTTCCTGGAATGTAACACGATTGTCTTTCTGAGGCTCCATCGGACCGAAGCAGCGAAGGTCAACAGTTACACGTTTGTCAACGCCTGTTGGAGCTGAGCTGGACGAGATATCGTCTCCGTGGATCTGGACATGCCAACTCTTGGTTTTGTCGACTTTTAGAGTAATCTGTGGATCGAAATCATGGAATGGAATTGGTAAAGGGTCTCCCGTGTTCTCTTTGTGTGCTTTGACCTTTTCCTTCCAGGCTTCATTCTGCTCCACTTTGTTGATCAGGTCCTTCCTTAGGACGACCTGACAGAAAGTCCTTGGGTTTGCTGTCAAGAAATGACCCTTGGCAATATTAACATTGAAGATATAGATTGCTCGTTCAGATATCTTACCAATGCGGGAAGTAGCTGTTTACCAGGCGCTTGTTCCGGCCTGAAGCCGGAGGCGTAGAGCAACTGCGGCGTTTGAACAGAGCCACCACAGATGACAAAAGCCTTAGCCTTCACATGAATGGTCTTGTTGTTCACAAGGTCCTTCACAGTGGCATATTGGATGCGCTTGTCTGCGCTATCGATTTCTAATTTCGTGCACAGGTGCTCGGGGAGCAGCTCGAACCTTTTATTGAGCTCTTTATCTTCAAGTATCCGCTCCAGCACCGTGTAAGCTGAAGACCATAAAAGCAGTTTCGAGTCCTTGGGGTCAATTTTAGCAGCGATAGGGAGTGCTTGGGGGTCGCGATCTGGTAGTACACCTGATAGATGGTCGAGTAATAAATGCTGCCGAATAGAATCCTTGAGAACGTAACTAGGACCAGGCAAACTGGTCCCGATATATCCTTCGGCCTCTTTGAGGAGTTCATTCCACTCATCTGGGGTATACATATCTGACCGCGCTTCTATATTTGGTCGAGCAGTGGCGCAGGCCCAACTATGAACACCACCATTTGGTCAGCAAGGACTCGCAGAGAGTACAGGGGGTTGTACGTGAGAGCCCCTCTGTACAAAAGGTGTGATTATCTTGACTGACCGAGTCGACGACCCGCCAACATTACGCGACGCCGCATTCTCCGAGACCTTGGGGCCTGCATCTGGTCCATTGATCATTTGAGTTTTCCTGTTATTCGTCAGTAATTGGCATTCTTAACGCAGCTAAAGCTACCCTGCCTACTACTTACGATGGGAAAGAAAATGGGGCCGAATCATTGCCAAAAGGGCTGTTCGTTGGCACTGAAGTCAGAGGAAAGCCTCCCTGAATGCCAGACGAGTCTGTGTCCTTTTGGGATGCCCTTGTGTTCTTCCTGTGGTCTCCTGGTTTGGTACCATTCCTTGGGGAACTATAAGCAGATTGCTCACTTGTAGTTTTGGTTTAACGAGTCCTCTCTTACTGAGCTCCCGCTTCCACCATTTTGACCTCCAGGCCACTTTCGACAAGCTTTCTGGCGTATGTCGCTCCAATAGGGCCAGAGCCCACGACTTAGCAACGGTCAATGTCAGGGTCTTGTATTCGACTGAGATATTTAAAGACACTCACTAAGAACATCAGTTTCGATAGTCTGGGACCCGGCCATGGTGGAGGTTTTGAAGTGATGAAAGGGCGAGTGATTCCTAATTCAGATAGTTCTTCGCACAGAAAGAAAAAATAAGCAGAGAGATGATAAAGAGTGGTATGGCGGTCTTGTGGTTTATAAGTGAAAATCATAAAATAAAAGTGCCAGAAGGCTTCTATTCTTCGTCGCAAACCTGGGCTATGAGCCTGAAGGGCATAGACTTAATGACGTGGACCGATAGCTGCATCGGCTCAGCAGTCTGCATATCTTGACAAATCATGGAAGTTTCATATACAGATTCAAGCGGTCACGAGGTATGCCTTAGGCTATAACTTAAACAAGGGAGTCTTGACATGCACGTTAGTGGGCACTGATATGATACATCATATGTCGCTGTTCGTGGCTATGTGCTATAGGCTCGTGGGGATGCAGTTCGGCAGGAGACACTCAAGAAAGGTCTGGATGACAAGAAGCCGCATATGTAAATGAAAGCATGAACACATAAAGATTGGTCCTATGTCTCCGTTTGAACGCAAGTCCTCCGTAGAGAGGCCCTTGGTGGAGCCGATCTGCAACGATATCTAACAAGCAACATCTGAGAACGTCACACCGCTCGCCTACCACACTACCGTGTAAACGAGAATCGCGCGGGAAAAAAATACGAGAGATATTTGAGTTATGAGCATTATTAATTTGTTCAAATCATAGTATTACCAAAAGCTGTTGGCGATCTTTTGATTGATCTAGGGGTTACGTAGGCTGTAGTGGAAGATGGCCTCTGGTCCTATGGAACCGAAAGTGCACACTAGAGAAACCCTCACCTTCGAATTCACTACCCAATCTATCTCCCCAGATTGAACAAGTTCACACTAGGGAAATTCAGTCGTGTCGTAATTTGTCACTTCAACCTCAAGGTTCCAGTCACGCGCCATTCAGTGGCACCAGGGCTCAAACGGCCAGATACGCTTCAGCCATCGCAATGGCATTCTGCAGATGAGGGGTGGTTAGTCGGCTGATCACATACGAAGGAAAACTCAGAGGAGTACGATGGCATCTTTCGAGCCTATAGAAGTCCGGTACGGACTGATATAAGAGGCCATAGGGATTGCTGACTGCGTGTATCCCGGCTTGGCTGTTCACAGAGGCCGTGGCCAGTCTCTGCTCCTTTCGTAGTTTGTGTATAGCTATTCGGATGCCAGTCAATTTTCTTGCGGTCCCTGGCTTCCATTCTCACGTGTTGGCGTGCGGTGCATTACAAGCTAGCAGGATATCTGTTTTTAGTCTGGCATTGACATAGTTCCCTGCCTTGTAGAAGTGTGATGAAGACACTGTGGATGCGCGACAACATTGAGTGAAGATTGGGGGCATTCTTTTGTTCCTAGGAAACATGTCCTGGACTACCTACCGGGCTAGGGTCTACGGGCGTTGATTAAAACATAAATATCCAGACCCGGACCGATTATATGCAAAGTGGAGAAAACAGAGGAAATACATATCACATTTATACTGCGCCGGAGCATTGATCTTCAGGTGGATTCCCGTAAATACAACTGATAGTTCCCCAGCTAGATCCAGTAGTCAGCCCCACTCGTATCGGTTAGTGCATGATGATCTTATAGCCCCGGCGGCCATGCATATATATCCGATGGATAAATCTGCACGAGCATCCACCTTACGCACTTCTATCGGAGTCTTATGAGTCACCAGTAGCTTCTCCATTGTCATCATCTTCGTTTCCTTCACTCTGGCTATCAGCATCAAACACAGCGGAAGCCTATCCTTACCCCCTCTGAGCTTCGACAGTGTCATGGCATTCATGTAGTCTCCACTAACTACTTACTAGAAACGGTTCAGGTCCATAAAATAAGAGTTTCATAGTGGATCCCAAGGAGTGATTAAAAGTCTAATGTACATTGATTCCATAGCATGGGGGTACGTTAAATTCTCTATTGCTGGCACTAGACAATGGATGTCCATAGAGACTTGTCAACATCATAAAAAAGATTCTAATCATCCCTTTGCCAACAACTGGCCTCAAAGAGTAATACACTCCGCTCTCTATGATGTCACATTGATCGAGGGAGCTCCACCTGCCTCAACAGGCAGACATCCGTCAGGACCTTGTTGGGTAATGGCATTTGCCTTCACAGTTCGGCTGAGTATACATGAAGACTGATATTCCAGCAATGCTAGAACACCCAAGCGTGCCTGGCGTGTACTGACCCCAGAGTGCTTGGGCCGGTGCTGTAGGGATATTAACGCAAGGAGCAAAAGCGGTAGTGTTACTGTCGGAGGTTCTGATATCGCAGTTTGTATCTCCAAAGGTTATAAGTTGGTAGACGTCATCCGCATAAGTGAGAGCCGAGCTGGCAATGAGGAGAAAGGTGGGGAGCTAGACTGAGTTAAATGTTTAATTAGTAAGAACTTTACTATGTAGTCATGTCTGGGTGGATATAAAGTAGCTTGAAGTTGACCATATTGGTATTGGTTAATTGTTCAAATGAGTGAAGGGGGTTGAAAGATGTTGAGAATCAGAGGTTGGTGGAATATGAGCTTTATTTATGTACCACCGAGAAAGCAAAGCTAGGAACTCCTTGTTCTCGGGAATCTTGTGGATCTGCGCTCAGCTGAACTGCAGACCCATACATATGCTATAGAGTGCGGTAGTGTGGGTCATACTTACCCCTATTAGAAGTATTATGTTAGTAGTCAAAGAGAGATCGGGAAAGATCGACAGATCCACTCGTGATCCACTGGGATGCTCTGAGTCGACGATCTGTGGAGAGACTTTAGTTGATCTCCCGGACAGAAAACAGTCTGGAGGTTCTGCAGCGGCAAAGAGAAAGTGGATCTGTAGATCTTTCCCAATTTCTTGGAGGTATTGACTTGGTGCTTTCACTCCTCCATAGTATGGAGTAAGGGGGCCATACTCAGAGTGCTGGTGGGTCTCTTGCTTCAGCTCCCTGTAAGGTTGAAATACTTAGGTAGGATATTTAGGGAAATAGCAGGAATTTACGCCTTCAGAAACGTGTCAATTTGGGGACAATCCTGCTGCTGTGGAGTCATGGAAGTTCCAGTGCATCAAGCAGGATGCTTGATGGGACTTTCTATGTGTATATAGTTGGCTGCTCGTAGTCTCAAATATCTTTCTGTGCCATCTAGATATCTGGAAAAACAAGCCTACTCCACCTAGGCCTGAAGATCATACATAGACTGGCAAAGTTGCGGGGGATAACACTGGAAGCTGTTGGCCCGTTATTACACTGAAGAGATTATTCCACCGTGTTCTGTGTGCAGCCAACATGTAGTCAACAGGAGCAAGTTTCGTCGCACTGTTGTACTGCAAAAGCCAGAGATTTTGGAGATGACGGAATTGTGGAATTAGCACTCCGCACAACATAATTCTCCAGGATCATCACTGTGAACTTTACTAGTCCCACTTATCATGGTAACTGGAAGTGTACCCTCTGAGAATCAGTTCCCCAAGCCCATTCCGGAGCCCAGTGGCACAGCATCTCTGCTTTTGTTCTAGAATAAGGAGGAGAGATTCGTAGCCAAGAGCGCAACGGGTAGCGGCGCCCAAACGCGAACAATAAACCGGGAAAATGAGAGCGTATATCAAGGTCAGGGAATCAATAGCTACATACTAGCCTGCGATGGATAACCTTTTGGTAAAGCAGCTGAGGAACCAGTGTGGACACAAGAAGAGAATAGGAATTCAAGCTGAGCGTTGAGATCAAGAGATGAGCGAATTATTGAAAAGTGATTGGGTTACCTGATTTATCCGAGTTCTTCTTTTAAAGTGGTAACGACCGAAAAAAGCACTAAAGGAGTACGCGTAGTTTCTTGAACGGTAGAACTACCTATCTAAACAGGAATAGCCTCAAACAAAGCATTAGATCCCACCCCCTGGTTATCCGCTCGCCATACCTTGATGACCTTGAATTGGGCACGCTCCAAAAGACTCAACCATTGCTTTTCCGTACGCTCTAGAGACGAGAACGTGGTCATCATGATGAGGTCGACGCTGGCATTGAACCGAGGAACGCCGGTCTCGGGCACGCTATTCTCGTTGATCAACAGCACCGAATCGTCGGCCATCGCCTCTCGGATGCGCTGCAGGGCTTGCAGGGCCTGCTTGTCGGGCCAGTCGTGCAGCACGGTGCGCATGTAGTAGGCCTTGGCGCCACGGACGGGCTGCGGATCGAACATGCTGTAGCCCTGGGCCTCGATGCCCTGGGTGAGCGGGGCCTGGATATCCTGGATGACCTCGGAGAGGTCCTGCAAAATCAGGCGGCCAGCGGGGTTCTTCTTCTCCTTGAAGCGCACGAGGTCGTGACCCTTGCCCCCGCCGATGTCAACCAGGAGCACGCGGTCTGCCTCACTGGCCAGCCGCTCCTCCCAGGGGTAGAAGTCGTACCACTGCTCGCCCTCCACCGCCCGATTGCCAGTCTCCATCACCGTGTTGAAGGCATGCTGCTCCTCTGGGTGCTGCGCCAGCCACTCAAAATGGTGTAGCTTGGTGCCGTACGCCCGCTGGAAGGGGGTGTCGTACGCGTCATCTGGGCTCTGGTACCCTCTGGCTTCCAAGAATTCGTGCGTGTACGCTGTGGCCCGCAAAATCATATGACTAGTGAAAAAGTAATCAAAACAGTTAGCCACACCCGCTATCTCTTTCTCCTGCTGGAAAGTAAATCCCCTCTCAAAGGCAAAGGAGGACTAGGGATTCCCTACAAGTTTTTGATCACCTCACTGGGCGGGGCGCCAGTCGCGAAGCCCAGCGCTAAGGGCTGAGGCTGGTATTTGTCCACCCCGGTTTCAGTGAACAGACGATTGGCACTTAGGAGCCGCATGATCCGGACTGTAAAGCCGGAAAAGGCCGATTGATCAGTCATACGAGTTCCAGATTGTTACCAGCTATTTAGAAGGCGAAAGGCCTCTTACCCAGCAGGTCCTTGTCGCCCTTGGTCTTTTCGTTCAACTCATTGACAGTCAAATCAGCACCGCCGGCAGCGGCAAATGCATCAAACACCCCCATCCCAATCGCAGTTCGGATAGCAACCAGGGGATGGGCCTGCGACAAACCCGCGGGGGGTTGGGTCAGCGAATGATTCCCTCGATCAAGACTTCTTTCCAGGCCACTGCAGGACTTGTCTTACCGCCCAGCAAATGTTCAGAAGGGACTGGATAGGGGGCTCGACGACCCCACGCAATTTGTCCAATGCCTCGAGGAGCTGGAGACGAGCTGGGTCAGGAATATCATCGGTGGGAGAGAGCTTGGACAGGGCTGCGTTGACAGCGGCTGTCAGGTCGGCAACAGTCTCGGCCATTATGTATGAAAATGAAGGAATTACTCAGGGTCAACTGTCTGAACCGAAGAATTAGTGGAGGCGATGGCTGTTTTTTAAACACATTTTATAATGCGCCATTGTCCTTGGTCGGTCTGTACAACGTTTCAATCCCTCCTTTCCCTTCTCGTCCGCTGTCGCAGCTGGGGATGGTTTCCAAGATACGATTGACCGATGCCATTGGTGGTCCGATAATTTACACAAATTCTTGGATGTAACACTGGGATTCAGCTTTTGCCGGGGTTGCTGAGGCACTGCGGTCAGCACTAGTGTATTGCGATATAGAAGCGAGGTGAGGGGTGAGTGATGGACAGGGAACGATTGGGCGATCTCTGGTAATATCACCATGGGACAGATCGACTAAGTCGGTTGGGAGGGTCGAAGTGCGGAGTTGGGAACCTGTCAGCCCTAACTGCCCCTAGCGCCGCCTTCCGGGGGGGGGGAGAACAACCACTAAAGAAGCACTAAGATAGATTGCCTGTACAGTAGATTACGCAAGTCACAAAATGCAACGTACTGAGTATGGTGTGAGGTTGAAGGTGGCTGTTATGAGATGCGAGGCTCCTTCATATAAATTTAGATTCGTGTCAATAAAACAAGCCACTCTAAGATTATCTAACGGAGTTCCACTTTTACATCTTTGAGGCACTTTCGCGAGTACATATCTGTATAAAAAGCTAAGCTTTCCATCTGTCGCGGGAGGATTTTCGGGGCCTCAGCTCCTGTAACAATACTCAGCCGCAGCGGGCATGCATTAGTGCTATTTACTAGTATCTAACTAGTGTTAGGCGGCAGGACTGGCCGGCGGTCTGATCACCATCACGTTGTGCCCTCACGGTCTCACGTATGGTAGAACCTCGGCCAGATACTGATCCGCGGAGCTAAAGAGATGTTTCCACACGTTCCTGAACCGCCAAGCACGCCATCACCGCGATACACACTACTCGCCGGGGTAGTCGTGTAGTACATTTCAGTGAAGACGGCTGACCGGTTGCGGCGTCCAGAAGTCATGGGCAAGGCGCTCGACATGGGGGCGCGGCAGAGCCTGGCGATTACTGGAGCGAGGTCCTCGACCACGACCCGCCCAACCAGCTGGGGGTACTCGTTCCACGAGTGCCACACACTAGTGCCCCACGGTGCCTCCAACATCCACTAATAGTGGCGGCGCTAAGGCGGGGGGCCGTTTTCACGACAAGCCGCTCCACTGGAATACATCCAGCCAGGTCGGCTCGCCGTTGCGCTGCGCCACCATCCACGCGCTGAACTCTGAACAGAACCTCACATGAGTCATGGATCAGTCAAAGACTGCAAGAAAAGCCGATAGAGCCGCTCACGTGGGGAGCTGGATGTCAAAGCTAGACGTAGGTTAGTTGTGCATTGCAGGAATTGAATTGAGGTGCGCTGAACTGGTGTTTGGTCCCCGATGCAAGCCCGGGCACAGTGAGCGCCTGCGCGATGGGTGTCGCCTCGAAGTGGTCGACGCTCGTTGCAGCAATAAGGACAAAGGCAGCAAGATAACTAAGGATACGGCCAAACAGCACATCCTAGGCCTCCGTTGCCTGGGCTAGTTCCTGCACGCTCATCGACCGTCCGTGCGAGACTAGAGCCTCTAAGAGGTTCAGATCGATGGCGATCTTTGTCATAGCCAGCTGCAAGGCTATCCTATTGTTCATGTCAGATAAAAGACTAAAGGCGGTCTAAAAAGGCACCTACCACGAAGGAGAGGCAGTGTACGGTATCCAAAGTTCAACTGCCATCAGGACACGGGAAAGTGCTTGAACCAGTTGGCTGCGAAGCTGATCATCCTCTGGCGGCTGGTGAGGAGTCTCTGTGTTGTAGTTATAGACATCGCTTGCAATGTTGCTACAGACAGCGAAAGGATGTTTATTGTTCCTTCAAAGAGGGAGGACCGTCAGAGGAATGCGCGTTATCTTTAAAACTGATCAGGGAGGTATGAGAAACTTGTGATAGGCTGACATGCATAATTTTTTAGATTAGGACAAGGGAGAGGCAAGTTGCACTATCGATTTGATATGTAACAGGGAACTTACCTAGACAACGCTCGCCCACAAAGTACGCGGCTGGATCGATTTTGTTGAAGTAGACCGATGTTCCTTAACGTATCTCAACCACGGTATGTTTACCACAGAATCGACCAATGACTAACGTCTTGGGACGCGCCTGCAGACGGACTTTAGTCATTACCTTCACATGGCACAAGAGCTGACTCCCTATTAGTCGCAAGGCCATATCACCTGCTCGGCTCTCCCACTGCTGGACAGGATCTGCTACGGTCTTCCGTTACCGGGGTTGCTTGTCGCTGTCTCACACATGCTACATGTATGTATATCCCCTTTTCAAACGTTTATTTGGTAGCCGAGTAACTAGCTTAACTATAGGTAGTTTGCAAGTGCGTTCGCCTTTCTCCAGACCCTAAGAGAATCGAGATATCCTATAGCTAATATACAGTTATATACTGGGCTAACTGGATTAATTATATACTAGAGTCTACACTGATATCATGTTTGATTCCCAGCGGGCTTCATATCTTTGGTGAATGATTTCCTCACTCTGGGTCGTTTATGCTTCTGTCCATTTCTTCGACATTGTGCGTGTGACTAGCGCGAGTATCGACTCTAGCACAAAGTGTATACCCAGCCTTTCCGCCACAAAATGAACCAGCTCTTGTGCACTCCTAGGTGAGCGGTATCGGGATGTGATTTAACAATCCTGAGGTTGACACATGCACTATACAGAAGTTTGACAACTTGAAAAGACATAAAAAGGCTTTTCCGGATGTAGGATGACGCGGGCGATAGCATACTTTGAGTCTCCATGAGGGCCACTCTTCTCAAGCTCTAAGCAATTATATTGTGAGTTTAGCTGTGTTACGAGACTAGATAGAGGGATGGGAATCAGATTTTATATTATCCTTTGGTACACTATCCGATGCTTAGAATAAAGCTTTTATTCGAACTATACAAGCTATCTAAGCCTAGACAACTATCTATTATAGGGATCTATATAATACTTTTGAACTATAGTAGAATCTGTCATCCAGGCTATATTATGTATTACCTCCTGAATGAAGACAGAATTCAACTGGGCTATATTTTCCCATAAATGTATTAATCGTAACTTAGCATAAAGATTATTAATAGATTGCTTAAAGTAAAAGCTAGCACATTTCTTATTACAAGAGTATTATTATTACTATCTACCCAGTAGATACAGAACTCATCTGTTTCAAACACCGAAAACTTAACAGTTTATTTCTAGGTAGGTTGACGCTCGAGCTTAACACGCGAACGCTTTCCGTGGTTATGGAAACACCACCATTACATATACCTATATAGTCGTAGCTTCTATGCCTCCACTCTATGTACCACCAGCTTATAGAAATACAGAACATATAGTGAGCATAATGCTAACAGTGACTACAAAAGCGCCTGCATTCCATAACTGTATAGTGAGTAGTAAAGAAGCTACGATAACGCGATACTGCTTATTCACAAAACGGTGCAATGCACGCTGAAGATATATTTCTCATGCTAGATCTCACATTTCTTGCAAGACTTATTCCACGACAAGTGTAACCAATTGGAAGGGTTGATCATTATCCATTTAATGCAAGTGACTTGGGGCTTGAAAGACTCATCTCATTCGCTCGACACATAAGTATCCAAGGAAACCCAATATGGCCTAGTAGTTGTTTTTGAACAGTATCAGCAACTCTGACATAAAAGACTTAGGGGAACTCCTCTTTCGCCGGGCTAGAATTGGCCATACACTCGTTAGAAAAACCCCCAAGTAGTTAGTTCCAATAGTCAATGGGTTGCCTACATCCCCTCACCGATGACAATACCGTCCCCAAAGAACTTAGCCATGCAGTAGAAACTACTACAGGCATGAGTAGCATGAGTTAGTGTTCAATGCGTACTCTCCAAGGTCGTTAAGTCGGCACGTTGCCTGCGGATCGTTTTGAAGATATTGAATTCACACCCCTCTGCTTCCTTTTTCAAATGCCATCCGGTTTTAGCTATCTAGCTAATTATTCTACGCTTTGAGACTAGGATAGAGATTTTAGAAGAGATAAAGCAGCTGTTTCGCGGCCGCTTATGGCGCTGGTGGTACATCAGGCGAAACAGCGTGACAGGCTGGATGATAGTGAGTACTCCTTATCTCTCTTCAACTCGTACATGACAAGACTCGATAACACGGGGTTCAGAAAGGAGGCTGCGTGTGATAAAATGTACCTCGAGCCAAGCGACACATGGTACGTACTACAGATATCAGCAAACAAGGGAAGCAGAGCTGTCTCATCGCGCATCGAGATCTAACCATGCAGACAGGCCATCCGTCCCCTGATACTATGTACCTAGTAATTACCGACGATAGCTAGGCCAGTGGGGTATCCGCCCAGTCATCTGATTCAGCGGCAGACTAACGTGCTGTATGTAAGATGTCAATTCAGGGGTTTAGAATATTACCTGCAGCAATTTCAAGAGGCGGCACGATAACTGGGTGGACTAATGCAGGGACACGCACAATAGGTAAAGGAGGCCGCCGATTTATGTAAATCTTTGCATATTGTCCACTGCCAAGGAATCCTGCGAAGCAGAGAAGGGAACCAGTGCAGGATGGTTAGTATTTAGCAGCGGAATAAATTGGTAGCAAAGTGCTATTCACGTAATTTAATGGCCATATGCCAAACAGTCCCTTAGTGTGAAGTTCAGCGATGCCGATCACTATCAATCGTCCCGGTTTCCCTCGGTTCGTGCCGAAGCATCGGCAACTACCGACAAGCCAAGAGTACTACCGACTACACCGAGTCGGCAGTACCGACCTTCAACACTTCCTGGACATAGTATTAGCAGATTACCCCCTGTCAAAAATAAAACTTACTGTGTATTCTCATCTAGATCGGTGGATCTAGTTATGCAGAACAAAACACTCCCAGCGCGTAGTAGATAAAGTTAGGGGAATATCACAGATGCTCTAACCTGAACCATAAGTAATCAATTAAGCATAAATGATAACAATGCGCTCTCATCACTATGGTAGAAGGCCTATATGAAGGCCAAATACTGCCTCTTGAGGTACTGCTTGTGCATAGATTCAAAGCTATTTCCCGATTATACTTTTAGCTATAGATGCAAGCGACATATTTTAATCTTATTCAATACTGATCCCCTAGCTTGAAGAAGAAAAAGATGTTCAGTTATACAGACGTTCGCTTAGATAGAATAGTACTTGTTCAAAGCGTACTGGGACCTTGAATAGTAAAGATTGTCTGTCAATATCGTTGGCATACCGTGCTAAAGGCATCAGGGACATACCAAGCCCACTAACAACTCGTACAACTCCACATCCGGAAGTTCACTTGCTTCCGTTGGGGGCGAGAAATTTCTCTATGTAGAGACGAAGGAAGGCCCTACTTGGGAGACGAGCTTGGCGGTTGACAGAGGCTCAGCGATCAACATCTTGGTACCTAGAATGGTGCTCTTCAACGCCATGACAATTGGATCGGCATGGCTGTGAACAGGGGCGGGCAGGTGAATAGAATGTTTGCATCTCGCTGATAGGTCCGATAGAATTATGGCGAGATCATTTAGTGGAGAAATATCTACGCATTCCACATCTTCTTGAGGCCAAGAACGTGATATCTGGGGGCGGTTTTGGATTCATCTGAGATGGTTTACGTATCGAGCCCACGCAGTACAGTCAACTACAGAACACACATCCGTAGAAATGAACAAGTTAAATACCGCCATCTCTGCCTATGGAGAGAGAACCATCCAACTGTCATTCTTTCATTCACTACAACCTGTCACTCTTTGGAAATACCTATTTTATACACTCTTTATATATACATCTATTTTTTTTTTTATTAGTCGTTGAGTCGACGACACACCGCCAGCATGATAACGCACAAGGTGCTGACGCTTCTATTTGTGCTGTTCGCTTTGGCACTTGCCGAGCTGAGTGCCCCGGATCTCGGTATCAAGCAAGACATGTCGGTCAGGCTGGGGGAGCACAAGAAAGGGGGAAATGAAAAGGATGGTGATCGTCAATGGGTTTGGAGCTCAGTTATCAAACTGAACAAGGACAAAGAAGCGAAGGAAGTAATCACGGACAGTCAAATGGTTGCACTTGTGCATCACGCTAGCGATCAGATGCATGCGGATGAAAACTACAAGAAGACCAATGCCAAGTTACAGCCATCCGTTATGTCCGCCCTCCTTGTCGGTGATGAAGTCTACCTGGCTTCGTCTATGAAGGGCGACTATTCCTTTATCTACGAATACAATGCGAAACCCAAGAAGGGGAAAAAAGCCGGTACCGGAGAAGTTCGAGCCCATGTGCCCCAGGAGATTAAAACTGCTCTCGGAACGGCGAAGGAACCCCCAAGGGAAAACGATCAGCATAAGAACGACGCCTCCTGTGGAGAAGTAATGGCCAGCTATACTTATCTGCTCAAGAACCACGGAGCGAAACTACAAGGCCAAAACGCCCGGGTCATTGCCTGGATACAGGACAAGTCCAAAAATCAAGCTTATGATCCCTGCGGCACTGGGGACAAGGTATGGGGATGTGACGCTTTTTGCAGTAAGATGGGCTTCAAAGTTATTGATACCAAAACCCCTGAAGACAAAAAAGAGAACATCCCCGGCATTGCCAAGCATTCTCAACAAGAGCTTATGACTCCGGCGCTTCAAAAAGAGGTTGCTGAGATTAGAGACACGTTAAAAAAGGAAGAGGAGGAAAAGAATAAGGAAGCGGCGAAAGCAAAGGAGCAAAGAAAGAAAGAGGCAGAGGAGAGGAGAAAGAAGGAGGCCGAAGATAAGAAGAAGAAGGAGGCCGAGGACAAGAAGAAGAAGGAGGACGAAGATAAGAAGAAGAAGGAGGCCGAGGACAAGAAGAAGAAGGAGGACGAGGACAAGAAGAAGAAGGAGGCCGAAGATAAGAA